GTCCATGGTATTTATGGATTACAAGTGATGCTTTTTGAATTACAAATTACGCTTTATGAATTACAATTGAATATTCTGAATTACAAGTAACACTTTCTGAATTACATTTCACTAATCTGAATTACATGTTACGCATTCTGAATTACAATTGACTAATCTGAATTACAATTGACGCTTTCTGAATAACAATTAACTATGCTGAATTACAAGTTACACTTTCTGACTTACATTTTACTAATGTGAATTACAAGTTATACTTTCTGACTTACATTTTACTAATCTGAATTTCAAGGTACACTTTCTGAATTACAATTGAAAAAGGTGTAGTTTGAATTGAAATATCGGTTTATTGGCTCTTGGGAATTTTGAGAAAAATTACAGTAAATCTAGATACTATGAGAAGCCTTTGCCTAGCTAAATCATTTCTGTGAATTGAATATTGAAATTCCAGCAGCTGTTCAAAAAACAACGATTCTGAATGTAGTCAATTCATTTTGATATGCTATATTTCTTAAACTATAAATCGCAAGTCAGTGAATATTGATTCATCTCTTGAAAAAGTCTGTTCTGTACATATTTGATCACTTGATATTTTTTATAACTGTTACCGTTTTCCCGTGGTTCATCAAAGAATTGGGAAAGGCAATTTCCAGCGCCTCGATTTTGTCCCTATCAGTGTGACGTCACGACAGCGATGCTCCGGCCCGGTGAGATAAAGTAGGCCTTGGTATGTCAATCGACAATAAACTAGCGCCTCGCTAGAGTTCGCACACTGCATCCATCATTCTAGCTTCCAACATGATTGACGTTTTAAATGTCAAGAATTACCGTGAAAATGGTCGATTCTGATTGGTTATCGAGAACAATAGTGGTCTCGCATGAACAACCTTCTTCCTTACCTCATAAATGAACGCGCTCAGCCGATGACTGACAGACAAAATGACCAAAGTGGACGGAAACAAGACGAAGTATCTGTCTAAGTGCTGCGGCCCGACAGCCACCGAGCCCATGTACAAGATGTCGCCGAGGGTGCACAAGCTCGGTCCCTCCCACCCTCTCACAGGACCTGTCAACACTTGGAGTTCCAATTCTTTTTGTCGTCGAGTTGCTGAACAAGTTATCTGAAGAGAATAAGGAATAGGATATGTAATATACCGGAAGCTACAATGGGCTTATATCACAAAAAAATTTTATTTCATAATTCGATAGAACTCGCCCAAACTAGCCCACCACCGCAAACCGTTTCTTGCTGTGAGCTCCCTACGTTTTATAAAAAATTATTGAAATCCCCGATTTTTCGGGCCTCCGAAAACGAGGCGATGATGTGACGTCAAAACCCTAATACTGAAACAAGACTATTCGAGACAGAGATGAATGATACATGATTTCTGACAAAGCACCAAGATTGGTGAATCTGAAAGTTGATTTTTGGGACAAAGATAATAAGAACAAGAAGAAGATCAATTCTAACCTATATTAACTTTTTGCAAATCGCGAAACTTTCGAATATTAAATTGAAATATTTCAACAAAAGTATGATTAAGAAATGTTTCGTGCCTAATTGCAATTATAAAAACATCATTTAGCTGGGAATTTTGGGAACAAATCTGGCCTCCTCACTGGGTAAACACAATATTGTAGTTGTTTTGCTTTGCAGAAATTCATTGGGAAATTGCTTGAAAAATGAATGATCCATCTCTTAGAAGAACATTCAAAGGGAGATGCAATAAGTAGTATCTATTTAGTCTAGGGAATAACCATACATTGTTTCATGCCAATTGATCATATTGTTGCATAGGTAAACATATCAATAAGTGACTGATTTAATGAGGATTCTCCATATGATGGGTATTCTGATGTTAAATATCCTTTCAGGTGAACAATTTTCCAATACAACTATAAAAGGTACAAGCAATGGAAATTGAATGAATATTGTGTAACAAACCTTTCAGATTTTCTATTCCTCACTTCAGCACTGAGAAACTGTATGTTAGGGACATAAAAATCATTAACCATTTCCAAATCAATTTTTGGGAGATTATCTGAAGAGCCTTTTACAAATCTTGATTCAACGTTCATGTTTATATTCAATATATCAATATAATATAAAGCAAGATTTGGAGGTTAATTTCATTTCCTGTCTTCTCTTCTCATTTTAAACGAAATAAATAACTTCGGAATCGGAATTCGAGACTCGATGCAAATGCAGCTCCATGCAAAACGAATCAACAAAGAAATGTTGCTGCGTTTATTAATTGTATTGGATTATTGTGAAATTGTAATGGTGCAAATGGTTTGAGATTGAGAAATTACGTTGTCAATAGATTGTTTATATTCCAATGATTCAACCTACAGTCGACAACTTGAATATATTCTTCTGCAGTAGTGGTAGTGGATATCAAAAGATATTTCAATATCGATTTCGATCTCTCGGATATTTTGTTTGGATGATATGGCAACAGTGATAAGTGTCACACATGGGTCACGCTCATTGGTTCAAGGCGAGATGAGGTTTCTACGTCATAATAAGAGGGTCCGTTTTCAGAAGGCCCTATTATTTATGTTCAAAAATAAAACATTCCAGTTGATTTTTCGATCGAATTATGTCGTCAATCATTATTTATGTATAGAAGGATCGTTATAAACATGGTTTGAGTTGAAATTTCTACTAAGGTGTACACGCCCACTCTATCTTGTCAGGTTGTTGCTCAATATCAATATTACATATTTATTTTATTTTGAATTTTTAATTTTATTTACTTTATTCGCGGAAATCAATGTTACCATTTGGCGCTCGATTTTCATCGTTCCATGTCAAAGCCACGTCAAAACTGAGGGAAAACAAACTCAATCTTCACTCAATCCCATTAGTGCCATTAGCTTGTGTAAGTGTACTGATAAGAGTGATGTTTTTAAATTTCTTGACATTAATTGTCAATATTCGATCGAAAACGCTAATAATGCCTGTTGTAGATGTTCTTTTGGCAGATATTTTGCTCTATTTAGATGGAAAAAGCCGACCAGTAGTGGAAGGAGCAGTTTTCCGTGCTAATCATGTGATTTTGTGTGAGGCAGAAGACTTCAACAAAAGGCACATTTTTGCACTTTGTGTACAAAGTTCGGCGATGAAATCTTCCCCACATGAAGTAAAATTGAAGTTGGGGTCCAGAGGAATTCCTGTAGAACAATGGATTTGAAACAGTTTAAAAGTTTTCAAATTTTCCATTTTCCATTGTTGGGCTAGCTTTGTATCTTTTGGAGAAAGATGCATTGACACACTTTCCGAAATATAATTATTGCACTGAGCAGTACTTTTTTGATTAGCTCGTCATAATTAGTTAGAATTGTTTGAACTATCTCCAATTCTTCACCCGTTCACTGTTCATTAAACTAATAAAAATGTAATAATGTGAAAAAATTAACCAACTCAACCATCATCACTACCAACAGTGCCAACACTTTATGTCATTGACAAGTTTGACAACTACAGCTACAGCAAGCTGTTTGCAATGTAGTCTATGCACTTTATCCATAGACAACAGTTTGTTTTCCCCCCGTTTGAAGTTCGTATTATGTAACCTAAATGTTGCCAACTTCGTGAATCTCGCGAATACACGTATAGAAAATTGTTATGTTTGTTACCAAAGAGTTTTTTTGTTCTATTTTAAGTTCAATTTTCAATACATTTTTATATCATGTAGTTACTAGTTTTGTAATTTCTACCTGTATTCGTTGTGTCCATACTTATTGAAAAAGAATGAACACTCTTCGAATTCATCGTTATAGTAAGTATACTGTTTTTTCGGAACATAGAATGCATCAAAATCTGCATCTGTTCATACTGGTAAAAACACCTCACTTTCAATTTGAAGGCATTTGACCTTGAACCAGAAAACATTTCCCCTGCGGCGCATTCTTTTTTGCCTTAGTTGCGTCCCAGCAATTCTGGGACACCCTCTATTTGAATATGGGTCCGCAATGACTTGGCTCTCCAAATCACAACGAATCTAAGTTTCACTAATTTGCTGACAAAGTCGAAGATACACCCTTTGAAGTTGGTACAAGTACATAATAAACAACCTTCATAGTGATTAGCATTACAAAGGACATTGTTGCCTATGTATATATCCTTTCTATATGAGATTACTGATACGTTAATGCATTACAAAAACATGATATTAAGCACCTAGATTGCAACAAGATGACAACATCTCACCGAGTATGACTGAATTGAGAATGCATTGAGAATGGATTACCACTCAACAAGAAATTGTCACTCAGCAACATATTCACGGAAGGCCAATATGATTGAATTTAGTTACACTATAAACGGCAACAATGTCGAAAAACACAATCTTACGATCTTAAGATCTTGGTGTCTATTTTGACAAAGAACTTCAGTTCTTGCCACACATTACTAAAATTACATCATCAGCTAAAAAAATGTTCGGCATGATATTCAGAAGTTGTAAAGACTTCCAGAATCAAGAAATTTATATAAATATTCATGAAGTATGTTGCATTCAAAATTGATGGGATATACCCTGAACAGGGTATAGACAACTCTTCACTGCTGAATAGATTTTCGTTACTCTCTCTCGAAAACCGAAAAAAAGCATTACTCATGTAAATAACCGAAATGAAACATGTTTTTACCTAACAACACCAAGAATAAATATTATAGCCAAGTCTCCCGTATACCGAATCTGTAAGAATTTTAATATCTGCGATCAAATAGATCTATTTTCAACATCAATAGGATGTTTCAAATAATATTCAAGAAATACTCTCCTCAGAATTGAGATGTACATGTATATTCAATTGTAACTTATTATTTATCATTCTTGTACTAAGTTTGCTGTGTTGATTATGTTGCTTGTCCTGTAATTGGGTGTAATACCTGTTTGGACAAAAAACATTTTTTTTATGACTGGTGGACAATATTGGGATATCCAAAACATTTATATGATATTCAATTTTAAAGTGGATTGAATACTTACTGCTATATCTTTATAGATACTGACAGACCTCTGGGTATCCCCTCTGTCAGGATGACTCTCTTCAACGTGCCTTTCCAACTCTTGCTGCATACCCGAGTACTTCTCTAACCTCCGGAACGGCTTACTCAACATCGTTGTAAGCACAAGAACGCCTGGATTCGCGGCACCCTTTGATTCCATATATTTAGTGAGTTCATCACTAAAATTACAGTTGAATAGGGTCCCTTGATGTAAATTGACGTATTTGTCATCTTAACAGGGTACGGACAGATCCTCGTCTCCTCTTACTCTAAAGTGTTTGTGAAACAGTTATATAGTTCCATCTTTATTCATTTCTGGGGATAAACACTAGATTTCTGACATTTGTTTTTTTTGGGTTATATTGAGGACATTGGCGTATCATACGTAATTTCCACATGTAATTTCTCATACAACTCTATATATTATATACAAATAATGATGATAATTTTCGAGTTTTTGATTTTTCAACTCCAGCATAATCTTTGTGAGGCAGTGAGCAAATTTTTCTGAAAGTTTGATACGTTTCACCAAATGGGACTGTTATTAGGCAGTACCTATCAATAAATTATTTTTGATTTCAGACTAACTCTTATGGTTGAGATATGATGAAAAATGGGGGAGACCACTGATTTTTTGAATCGACATTATCGTGAACTCTATACTGTGAAACTACCAGTGAATTTATTTTGAATTTTTTCATTTATGCTAAGACGATGAAAAAAATAAATAAGAATATGTCCATTTCAAAACACACAATTCCTACGCCATTTGAAATTTTGTCAATTTATTGATGTGACTGGTGCGACGTCTTAGTCCCAACACGCCTATTGTCCTTGAACTGACCAATCACACTGCAACACTGCAGAATGACGAGGTATCAGAGAGAGATAGCTACAGTTCGGGACTAATACGTCACGGCTCCACTATCATATTTGGTTTTTTGAAATATCGAATGAAATATGCTGATCTCAAAACGATATAGATTCGATTTCCTTCAATTTCAACTCATAATATTGATTGTACATAAAACGTAAATCATGATTCGTCGATTGTATGTAGGTATTCAAACTGATGTGCTCATATGTCATGTGCACTGTATATATTCATGTTGGGAATCATTTTTGCAGATTTTCACGAACATTTAATATTTCCTGAATATCGGTATAATTTTTTAAATGGTAGGGCATAAGCCTCTTCTTTTAATCCTCCGTTTTAATCAAAACTGTTTCTACTAAAAGACATACAAAAACTCGTGGGGTGGATAATTATTGGCACATTGCCACAATGAGAAAGTATAATATGTGATTTCGTATTAGTTTTACTTCGAATATTTAGCTGATGTATTCACCAATTTTCCACATTCGGTCACTTCACTTTCCATGTTCTAAGATCATTTGGATTTGATGGAAAGCTGACAAATTCAAATTTGCCATCCAACTGATTGATACAGCCTAACGCAGCACATTTTACCATCCTTCAAAAACAGAATTGAATAATGTCGTATTAAGATCAAGTATGAAATTAAAATTTTGTGAGATCTCTTTTAACGCCTATTAATGTGACGTGACAGCAATGTCATGTCAGGGACGCCAATACACGAAACCGAAGTCACTAGATGATTAAGAGAGAATGGAGCAATGATCTGTCCGTACCCTGATAGATGACAAATACGTCAGTTTGCATGAAGGGACCCTACATTTGAATGAATCGAATAAGTCATTGGTCTGGAGTATTGGAATTGTAGTAGATAGTTACCGGTATTTGTCTAGTATGCATACTGCCCTAGGATGCAGCGAGCAGTACTTTTGGTGAACACTTTTTATTCTTGGCGCCCAAGTGAGGAATAATTTTCCCACTTTTTGTTCATGACTAGGTTTGTTCGCCTCCAATTCTAAAAGGCTCAGCAATTGCTGGTGAGTTTCTAATACCTCAGTGATGTTTCCTGTCAGCTGTTTATACTCGTCACTTGTCAATCTGAAATTCAAAGGAACATTCATCAGACAGTGTAATTCGTATATCCGTATATGTATAACTATGGTTAGATAAGAGTTCGGACACAGAAATGACAATTGTTAGTGTTTTGAATTCTTACGTTAATCAAGTTACACATCTTGCATTGTGACAACAGTATCATAGTCGTTTCGCGCTTTTTCATTCATAATTGTTTGAATTTGACAATGAATTGAATAAACGTCAGAATTGATATATTATTTCATAAACTATTGAGAAAAAAGCATAAATCAAAATGTCTTGCAGTGTAATGAATTGAGGGAATTCTGAAGGAAATGGCGATTTAATTTTTTTGGTTTTCCAAAGGAAATATCAACCATTCCCTTATGGAAGGAATGTATGAAACGAACTGGATCAAAAATTGATTTGAAGACAAGCAAACTTTGTGAGGTGAGTACATACATTGAAATTCACTTCCATCTTATCTAAGCAGATTGGAATGAAATGTAAAACTGCACTTATAATGCGATGGTTTTTTTTTCGAAAATTTGGTATTCACGTATTTTTGTCTGAAAAACACGAATTTGATGATGAAAATGTGAACAAACCATTATTTATTGAGATATTTCACTATTGTTAGGGCTATTCTGAAGATAAACCAGTTCTTGTTATTATCCTCATATTTTTATCCCCTGTATTATGTATTTTTGGCAGGATTTTGAGTTTGAGTTTTGATGTCAAGTTTGAATTGAAAATATACGTTGTGTCAGTACATCAAATATTGTAATTTAAACATATTTGGAGCCATTTGGTACTCGACTCATTAGTATATCTTACATTCTGGTCCTTCGATTATCAAAAGAACGCGCTATGGAGTCAAACTCAGGTATCGAAGAAGTAGGAAGTCAACGTCGCAGGAGCAGCAGATGTAACAAAGGTATTCCACCTCGAAAGTTTTCTGAATTTGTAATGGATAAGAGACCTGATTTAAATGTACCTACTACTAGTGTCGTTGCTGCTAGAGTTCTAAAAGGTGACATGGCTTTATCTCGGAGACAAATATCTGAAAACAATCTGTTGGAGAGAGTGGGAACTTCCTTTGAAAATGCAGGATCTGTTAGAAGGGAAACAAGGTCTGACGTTGTATTCCGCAATACGTCGATGAGAATTCCATCAATATCACAAAAAGGGTCTGAATTTTCAAATAGATCTGAAGTTAGTAAATTAAATCTTGAACTCGATATGCTTCGTATGCAAAAGCAGCTCGATGAAGAAGAAGCAGCAGAAAAGCAGAAGATAGCCGAGGAAAAGTTGAAAGCTATAGAGAAGAAGCGTGAAAATTTAGCAAAAGAAATGGTTATCCAGAAGGAACTGTTAGAAAAAGCTGATTCACGTAGCGGAAGTCAAGTGGATAATTCTGGAAGCTTATATGGTAGCAGCACTTTTTTGAATAAATGGGTAGATGATGCCAAAAAATGTGTTACTATCGATTCTAGACACTCTGACAGAGAAAATGGAAGCAAAAGCAAACAAACACGTGATGCAAGTCAATTTAGTGATCAGGTGGATTCTTTATTCTGTCAATATTCAGATGGAATGAGGCAATGTGGAAAAGCAGACAGTAAATTCATGAATGATGTAACGAAACAATGTATGGAGAATACTGCTGCTATGAATAAACTATTGATTCGCCAAAAGATTAGAGATCTGAGCCATTTTTCAGGAGAATTGACAGACTGGCCCATTTTTATAAGTGAGTTCAAACGTACTACTGAACTGTATAGTCTAACTGATGAAGAAAACCTGCTGCGCTTAGACAGAGCGTTAAAAGGTAAAGCTAGAGAGACAGTGAAGACCTTGTTGATTTCTCCAGTAAATGTAGGCAGAATCATCAAGATGTTGGAAATGAACTTCGGTACAGCAGAGTGGATTGTCTTGTCTTTAATGGAAAAGGCTAAAAAGATGAGCTCTATCAAGGATGACAAACTAGAATCCTATATTGCGTTTTCGAATACTGTGACAAATATGGTATCGTCTATGAAAAATGCCAGTTGTGGAGTATATCTTTTCAATCCCGAGATGTTATCAAACTTGGTCGACAAACTTCCTCTAATTCAAAGGTATGGTTGGGGCAAGAATAAAAATGCTCTCGAAAATCAGGGTCAAGAAGTTTCTTTGGATGATTTTTCGAGTTGGCTCGAGGAAGAAGTTAACCTTATGGCATCCATCAGTAATCCATTTACAGCAAGAAGCAGCAACACAAGAAAAGAGACTGTCATGATTTCGAAAAGAAAACCAACAGGGTATGAGAAAGAAGAAGCCGCCATCTGCCTTTTCTGTAAAAAAAGTAATCACAGCAATTCAGAGTGTGGAGATTTTATCAAAAAACCTATTGAGGAAAGAAGATCCACTGCCTTAGAATTGAAGATTTGTTTCATTTGCCTTAAACCGGGACACATGGCGAGTCGATGTTCCCATCAAAGGTCCAGGTGTGGAGAGCATGGATGCAGGGGAAAGCATCATAAATTGCTTCACATTGACAAAGTACCAGTAGTGAAACGAGAAACAAGTTCGAACCTTGACACTTGTGCGAACCTTACATCAGCAGATCAAACGGTTTTACTAAGAGTTGCACCAGTGAAACTTCATGGACCAGCTGAAGAAATTATTGTCTTTGCACTCTTTGACGAGGGTTCAACTTGCTCGATGATCGAACAGGAGTTGGCTGACAGACTCGAACTTTCTGGTACTATCACTCCTTTCTGTTACCAATGGACTAATGGAATAACACATCACGAAGATGAGTCAAGAATAGTTTCTCTGGAAATAGCAGCTGTAAATACCTCTTCTGGGGTTTATAGGATGAAACAAGTACGTACAGTTGATAATTTGTGCCTACCTGTACAACAAATCGACGTTGAAGAGATTTGCACGAAATATCCTTATTTGAACCGCGATATTTTGGAGTCCATTAAGTCCATCAAACCTCAGCTCCTGATCGGTCAAGACAACTGCGGTCTGATTATACCGAGACAAATTATTCAACCAAGAATAAATGCACCGATAATGTCTAAAGCTAAACTGGGGTGGACCATCCATGGAGCTATCGATTTCAATGGATCAAACGATACTGCTCATATAAGTTTGTGCTGTCAAACCGTTCAAGATGAAGAACTCCACATTCTTGTAAAAGATACTTTCCGTTTGGAATCCTTTGGTGTGAAGTTACAGGACGGCTTGATCAAATCTGTTGAAGACAAAAGAGCAGTAACATTGATGGAGAAAACATTGGCAAGGATTGAAGGCAGATATGAAATAGGTCATTTATGGAAAAGAGATCAAGATATTCTACCAGATAGTCGTCCAAATGCCATGAAGCGCCTCCTATGCATGGAACGTAAAATGGAAAAGAATGAAGAATTTTCGAGAAAATATTGTGACAAGATAGTAGAATACGTAAATAAGGGTTACGCAAGAAAGTTGAGAGATGACGAAATAATGGACACCCCGAAAACATGGTATCTTCCTCACTTTGCAGTTTGGAATGTGAACAAACCGCAAAAGTTCAGACTTGTTTTCGATGCAGCTGCGAGGAGCCATGGATCGAGCCTCAACGACTTTCTTTTACAAGGCCCAGATTTCGTACCATCCCTTGTCTCAGTATTGTGGCGATTTCGACAGGGAAGAGTGGCTATCAATGGAGATATTAGGGAAATGTTTCATCAGGTTGTCATTAAAGAAGATGATAGAAGTGCTCAACGATTCTTATGGCGCGGTACTGATCGAAACAGAGTACCGGATGTATATCAGATGAATGTTATGATTTTCGGTGCCATTTCTTCTCCTTCAGTAGCTCAATTTGTGAAAAATAAAAATGCTGAGAAATTCGAATCACAATATCCTGGAATCTTGCGAATCATGAAGCGGCAACATTATGTTGATGACTACCTGGACTCTTGCAACAGTGAAGAAGAAGCCATCGACAGAGTAAAATCCGTCATTCATGTCCATTCGCAAGGTGGTTTCGAGATGACAAAATGGATCAGTAATTCTGAAAAAGTTATATCATCCATTCCTGAGAACCTTCGAGCTACTGTTCAAGACAACAACTTGGTGATAGATTCCCAAAACATTGAACGAGTGCTAGGTCTTTCTTGGTCTTCGCGTGACGATAACTTCATCTTCTCTTTGAACCTGAGAAATATACCCCCAGAAATTACGCATGGTATCAAGACACCGACCAAGAGAGAAGTTCTTAGGATGATCATGTCCATTTTTGATCCCCTTGGTTTTCTGGCACCATTAATGATCAAGGCTAGATTACTAATGCAAGAAATTTGGAAATCAAATATTGATTGGGACATGGAAATTGTTGAGAGTCTGTTCGTTCTATGGACACTTTGGCTTGGAGAACTTCAAGAACAATCGCCAATAGTCGTCCCAAGGTATTATTTTCCACAAAATGGACAAAATGACACCGTGAAGGAGGTTGATCTTCATTTGTTTTGCGACGCAAGTGACAAGGCGTATGCAGCTGTGGCATATCTGAGGTTAGAGGTAGAAGGAAGAATCTATACATCGTTTGTTACTTCGAAGTTCAAAGTTGCTCCTTTGAATCAACAGACAATTCCTAAACTCGAGCTGCAGGCTGCTGTTCTCGCAAGCAGGCTTGCTAAAACAATAAAGAATGAGCTGGATTACACCGTGAACGAGATTCATTTCTGGACGGACTCCTTAGTTGTTTTGAAGCAGATACGGTCTCAATCCAGGCGTTTCCCAATGTTTGTAGCATGCCGGATTGGAGAAATTCATGAAGATACGGACGTATCTCAATGGCACTGGGTTCCATCAGATTCAAATGTAGCTGATCAGGCTACCAAAGTTCTGAAAAATTTGAATCTGAAAGTTGATGGTTCCTGGTTGAATGGTCCGACGTTTTTACAGCAAAGTATTGAATTTTGGCCCATAGAACCATACGATCATCGTGGAATTGAAGAGGAACATGTATGTTTGATTCTTACTGCGGAAACAGATACAATTTTACCTGACATCCAGAGATTTTCCAAGTGGATCAGGCTAGTTCGTGCTACAGCTTGGATTTTTTATGTGAAGAATGTGATTCGCCTTCCCAAGACGGATCGACCAATAACGCGAACTCTTGATGTGAAACTAATAGATGAAGCATGCAGATCATGGGTCATGAAGAGTCAGAGTAAATCATTTGCAGAAGAGCTCCATCAATTACATCACAACAAGATCATCAAAAAATCGAGTCGTCTTCTCAAATTATCAGTATTCCTGGATGAATACAAGATTATTCGCGTGGGAGGAAGATTCTCAAATGAAGCTGATATTGAATATGATGCAAAGTATCCCATAGTTTTGGACCCGAAGTGTAGGTATACCCAGCTGCTAGTAGATCATTTTCACATGGAATCTGGCCATTTTGGAATCGAGACTGTTGTGAACAATTTGCGTCTGAAATATTGGATACTGCATGCTCGAGCTGCAGTTAAAAAAAGCTTCCGTAGATGTCAATTATGCAGAATTCGAAATGCTAAACCAATGCCTCCAATAATGGGTAATCTACCAGCAGAGAGATTTGAATCAACATTGTTTCCCCTCACTTATGTTGGCATAGATTACTTTGGGCCGATGCATGTATCTATCGGTCGCAGGACAGAAAAAAGGTATGGTGTCTTATTTACATGTCTCACCGTTAGAGCTGTACACATTGAGTTGGCAGCAACATTGGATACAAGCTCTGCAATAATGGCCATACGTAGGTTCATGTGTCGGAGAGGACAGCCTAAAGAATTCCTATCTGATAATGGGACAAACTTTGTCGGTGCGGAGAGGGAACTGCGAGAATGGAGAAATAGTTTAGACCATCAGAGAATCTCAGATGACTTGTCTTCGAAAGGCATCGTATGGAAATTCAATCCACCTGGAGCAGCAAGTATGGGTGGAATCTGGGAGCGCATGGTTCGAGCTTTCAAAACTGCATTGAAAATAAGTTTGAAGTCACGTAATCCGAAGGAGGAAGTTTTATTGACACTACTTTGTGAAGCAGAGTATATGATTAATTCTAGGCCTCTGACACACATTTCGGTAGATCCTACAGAACCGGAAGCTATCACCCCAAATCATTTTCTCTTACTGCGTCCAGGTGGAGTTCGATCATATGGCGAAAATACAGTACTCAGTAGAAAACAATGGCGATCAGCACAAGCTTTAGCTGATTGTTACTGGAAAAGGTGGGTTCGAGAATATCGCCCAACGCTCCTACAGAGACAAAAATGGCATAGTAAAACTGAACCTATCAAAGTTGGTGACGTGACTATCATGGTGGACGAGAAAATGGCAAGAAATGAATGGCTTCTTGGTAAAGTCGAGCAAGTTTACCCTGGTAAAGATGGTGTCATAAGGGTAGCGCAAATAAAAACGAAAAATGGATTCTATACAAGACCAGTTTCTAAGTTGTGCATACTCCCGACATCATCAACGTGTTTGAACCCAACCTGACAACGTCGTTCCGAGGGCGGAGAATGTTAGGGCTATTCTGAAGATAAACCAGTTCTTGTTATTATCCTCATATTTTTATCCCCTGTATTATGTATTTTTGGCAGGATTTTGAGTTTGAGTTTTGATGTCAAGTTTGAATTGAAAATATACGTTGTGTCAGTACATCAAATATTGTAATTTAAACATATTTGGAGCCATTTGGTACTCGACTCATTAGTATATCTTACAACTATGAAGTCACAACTTTCACCTTCTTTTTCGCCTGTCTTTTGGATCGCATTTAGAACAATTTGCCATTCTTTTTTCATCACTGGAAGCTTCGAACAGGAAGATTTATTCATCACAATGTACTTGGACAAATTTTTTTTTTATTATTATATTCAACTAGAAATATGATTTTCTTGCGATTTATCCATATTTAGTGAGAAGAAGGAAGAATATCATTTGAAATAATGGCTTGTGTAATGTCATTCCAAAGCAATCTGTTGAAATATGACATCTCGTATTTGGATTGACTATTGATTAAATGGCCGTCGTCTGGTATGATTCACTAAATATGAAAAACTTGCCATATTTCGTGTTGAATTTTCTATATAAAAATGTATCATTGAAGTACATCATGAGTATATAAAGTGTTCAATGACAAAATAAGAAGAGCAAGGAGCTGTAAATGTATCCAACACAGGGGGGAAAGCAGGCGAAATTTCCAACTTTTTCTTGAAATATCTCGATAAATAGTGCTCAGTTCATATTTTCATTATCAAATTCGTGTTTTCCAGACAAAAATACGTGAGTACCAAAAAATTTTTCGAAAAAAAAAACCATCGCATGATAAGCAGTGTAGTTTTACCGAATGAAATTATATTTTAGGCCCATTTTCAAACAAAAGATTTATAAGATCCGTTTGAGAGAAACTGCTGTTCCATTGATTTATGAAACAGACTATTGAAAAAAAAATCCAATATTATCATCACACGAAATGCAAAACGACGTAATGAAATTGAAAATTTGAGAACGAAACTGGGAAAATCAAGTGAATTACAACGTAGTTATATAATATCATTGAATGGCGTTTTCAATACCGACCAAATTCAAAATTTATCAGTGAAAAGTGCATGCAGCAAAAGGTGGAAAATCAAAACAATCTTCATCTTTATCACTCGGGTACAGTTTTACATACAATAAGGAACTAGCTATAAGTATATCCATATGTGTCTATTTTGTCATATTAAAATGTTGTTACATGAATTCTTTTTATTTTCATAACTTGTTCTGCGGAAAGTGTATCGCTATATAAATTGAAGTAGGTGTTTGTACCCTGTTTCTATTTTCCATCTACGACAATGATTGATGTGACAGAAAATCTAACCTCTAAAATCGTATCTGACAATAAGGCGCTGCTAGGGAAATTGAAAATACAAAAAGCAGAATATATGTCTTATTCTTTCATTCACTCAAACCATTGTAATGAAGAAAATAGAAAAGGACAGAAGTTCAGCTGTGTCCGAACTCTTAGGCCCTCCGCACACGGGTCGATCGGCGACATGGGCGACGCGATTGCAATGACGTCACAATTTCTGCATTCGTACGATTCAAGAGACGGGAGTGTGTGTCATCCGCATATGGGTCGACGTTTTGTGTAGTCGACTCGCGTCTGATCAACTTAGTTACTCTATTTTTTGCTACTTCAAAAAGAAATGTTTCGCTAAAAATGAGCAGTTCCAATGGCGAGGAGGACATATTCATGTTTTTGTGGCACCGGCAGATCAGGAGAAGAAGAAGACAACGAAGATTATGGGTGCATTGCACGAAATTTTCACACTCGACTTTTGTTACTGCAAGTGAAATGCAAGAGAGTGACACAAAATTTCTGGCATTTTATAGAATGTCGAAGGAATCATATATTGATTTAGTGGAAACTCCAGCCATAAATTATATGGATTCAAATATGAGTAAATGTGTCAGCGCAGAAGAACACATACTAATAACATTGATGTAAGATTCATATATTTCAAAAAATCGAACAGTTCCTAGAGTTGAGGCCTTAGGCCCTCCGCACACGGGTCGATCGGCGACATGGGCGACGCGATTCGAATCGTACGACGGTCTCCCCTCTACTCGACTTCCTAAGCAAAGCATCTGGATCCTGCACACGGGTCGTTTAGTGGTCGTCTAGAAACGTACGATTTAAGATCTCCTCGTTTTCAGTCTCACGCGATCAGCAAGGAAGCAGTTTGATCGAGTGAATCTTGCGTCTCAATGGAGAAAGTTGTTCAATGATTTTTCAATCATTGTGAATATTTGTGTTACCTACCTTAGTTCTTTACTTTCAGTAACTAGAACATATAATCTTATGTTTCCAATTTATACTCTCAACTTTAGGAACTGTTTGATTTTTTGAAATATTATATGAATCTTACATCAATGTTATTAGTATGTGTTCTTCTGCGCTGACACATTCCCTCATATTTGAATCCATATAATTTATGGCTGGAGCAAGAGTTTCCACTAAATCAATATATGATTCCTTCGACATTCTATAAAATGCCAGAAATTTTGTGTCACTCTCTTGCATTTCACTTGCAGTAACAAAAAGTCGAGTGTGAAAATTTCGTGCAATGTACGGATGCACCCATAAACTTCGTTGTCTTCTTCTTCTCCTGATCTGCCGGTGCCACAAAAACATGTATATGTCCTCCTCGCCATTGGAACTGCTCATTTTAGCGAAACATTTCTTTTTGAAGTTGCAAAAAATAGAGTAACTAGTTGATCAGACGCGAGTCGACTACACAAAACGTCGACCCATATGCGGATGACACACACTCCCGTCTCTTGAATCGTACGAATGCAGAAATTGTGACGTCATTGCAATCGGAGGGCCTTATCTAACTAACACCATCCAGTGACTCTAGGTATAACATGTTTAGATCCCTAACTGTTCATTCAACTTACATCACACTTTTTTCTAGAGGTTGCAAGAAGTTCGTGACAAGTCCTTCAAGTTCCGTGACATGTGCTTTCTCAGAATCAATCAAGTCTTTGAGCACGACACTTTTATACTGGTTTTGTTGGGTGACAATGGGCTTGGGAGCATCTGGAGGAATACAAAACAAATATATACAGGGTGTTGGTGACAAAGTGCGACAAACTGCATGTAACCTAACTTGCTTCGTTTTCGAGATACAGGGCATTGATATTTCCATGAAAAATCGTTTTTTTTTTAATCATTACTCATGTGTCTTTTTACCAATTTCAATGAAACCTGGTGGTTTTGTTGAAAGTAACATGGAGCTTCTTTTGATGTGATTAAATTCAAAATATTATTTTCAGTGGCGTCATAGTGGGTTAATTTATCGATATTTACGGTTAATATCATTGTACGCAACTGGTTTTCTGACTTCAATAATGTTATTAGATTGAACAATTGAAATATCAACTTTCTCATCCTCTGTGTGTTTTTTTTAAATCTTGCTTAGTATTTGAGGAAACAATAAAAATTCGATTTGACTCCAAATTTTAATGGAGGTGCTCACGAAACATTCATTAAGATTACTAAATAACCTCAATAAGAATCATTTTGAAATTTTGGGACTTTTCAGTCTCCAACCATACTGAATTTTGGCACCATGAGAGCTTATATAGAGGCGTTATAAATAAAAACAATTAATACTTTCAACTTCAACATCCTGTGTATCAAAATCGAAACAAGTTAGGACACATGATTATATAAACTTTATCTCCTAAAACATCACAAGGTATCACCTCCTGGAGTTTGTCGCAGTTCTTCACTAACACCCTGTGTAAATATAAACATACACTGCGGATAAGTCGAACGCAGACCCATACGTCTACACTACAGAGAGATCAATTCGAGTTTTGCCTCGTAGCTTATACAGAGTGTCTCACTTTGAACGCTTCCCCTCCTATATCTCAACTATTGGTCGTGTGATTCTTACCAAATTGAACTGATATGAATAACCATCAATTTGATCAGTTTTTCATCATCATTATGGGCAGTTCGATTTTATTGAAACAAAAATGGGTCGATTTTTTATGAAATCATATTAGTTTTTTTTGCAAAAAGAACTAATTTCGTCGTATTGTTCCTCATGGTAAACCTCTATTTATGCAAAAATTAAATTTCTGCCTCGAAAAAATAATGAATTCAAATTGACTGCAGATTTTGGAACGTTCAATACCTCCAGTAGGTAGAAAATTATGGCTTGAGACATCAGGTGGCGCGTTTGAGAGAAAAAACGGAATATAAGTAGATTGTTTTATAAGGATCAAAAGTGACACTTTGTTTGACAAGCAAATTTTGCATTTGCAGAGCGGAGCGCCTAGCGAAGCCGAGCGAAAACAAAATTTGCGAGTCAAACAAAGTCACTTTTGATCCGAATGAGAATTAACTAAAATAAATATGTGAGATCAGGTTTATTCAATTTTCGAGGATGTTCAAGTTGTAGTTTCAATATAAATACAACCACAGAGTGACCCATTTGTGTATTCTATTGAATCCATGAATTCATACCATGATTTCTACCAGGTGTCAGTCCTAATAGCAAATACCGCGCCAGTGCCAGGTATAGAAAAAAGAAGTGGAAAATGTTAGGTTAGTAAGCATATCATCAACAATAAAAATAGAGATTGATATTTTCTCTCCTCTCCATATTTCACTGTGTTTGGCTCGGTAATCAAATAAAAGTAAAACATATCGTTGTGTTATACGAAAAAAGTATTGTTGGCCGTGATTTTCCAAAAACAAGTTATCCAATCAATCAGATCCCGAGACAAAAGGAAATACACAGATATGTATGATCTGCCGAAATCTGGAACAAATCAGGTCCCAACCCAAATAACCAACCGTAAAACAATGTTGTTTATTCTTGATGACCTAGTACATTCTTTTTAGTTCCTAGGAGCTAAATTTCAGCTTTAGCTCCTAGATAAATCGTGTGTAAACGAACACATGTTCAATCGAAATCATAACACACATAATGATAACCTCAAATTAGTTAAGCCAGTTAATGATATTAGAAAATTAGATGCATATGAAAGCCTAGAGTAGAGATACTGAAGAATAGTAATAGGGTAATGAATAGAGATAATGGACATATTCCATATAGCTCTCTGTATAGTTTAGTAAAATAAGATTGAAGTTAACTTGGCGGTAAGCGTCTTTCACGGTTGGGTGGACATATACCTAGTAAATAAGTAGCACAATAGATAGAATATTCAGTTATAATATTCTCCTGAAGATGCCAACATAGTTAGCGAAACACGAGGCGTATAAAAAATCGGTTTGGTTACTGTAAAAAGACTGTAGTGTATTTCTCATTATGTTCACCCAATGGAAACAATCTGTTTATATCATAAATGATTTAGGCCCTAAGACTAACTTGTAGAACTCCATAGATTACACAGCTGTTATTTTCGTAAAACTGATGTCTTCGTTTTGGAAGGCAGTTATCAAGATTTCGAAATGATATAGAAAATAACTGTGAGGTTACTTTGTGTTTATGATCGGGGATCAAATTGGATACGGATTAGTGAAGAGTATTTTTAAATACAGTCGTGTTCAAAGTGCATGCAGTATAAAAATCGTAGAAGAAAACGAAAGTTCATCTGAATTTACATAAATAACACAGCTGGAAAGCAGTTCCTCAAGGTAATTATAATTAAATTTTCTAAAAATAAAGCCCCTGACATTAGCGCCTTGTTTACATAACTACGGAACGTCAGAAGTCATCAAATACAATATTTTACTTTCCCTACACCGGGTGTTTGATGTACAGAAAAATGCCGGAATTTTTATAGATAAATTGGTTCTCAGTGGTTTTATTTTAAATCTAATATACAGGGTGATTCACATAAGAACCGACATAGAGCAGGGGCATGTAGGGGGTCCCAAAATATGGCAATTTAACGCAACTTACCTCTATACCAAGTTGCTTCCCTAAGGAGTTATAGGCTTTGAAAGTGAAGTTATAAATTTTGAAAAAAATCAATATCTCCGTTATTCTTGAACTTAAAGCAACCAAATTTGGTACAGTTTGTGGATGTATTTAGGGCGTTACTTGACAGTAACTAGAGCTTAATTGAAATTTGTAAAGGGGGTATACCGGGTGGCGCACCATTAATATTCAACAGAATTTTGTTAACCCTTGATGGATTTCAAAAATCTTTGCTTTGTTGTGTGGGCAATTCAATTCTTAAACTTTTCTTACCCCAGTAATTTTTTGAAACACCTCATCATTTTCATCAAAAACTCCAATAACTGAAAACGCGCACTCTTGGTGTGTTATTTAAAATCATCGAAAATTCAAAAGTTGGCTATGAAAATAAACGTACAACAAGAAAGTAGTTCATTAATTGTGATCATTAGAAATTGGCTGGCAAATTATTATTTAGATACGTAACAAAATACGTAAAGTAAGTACAGATACTGAAATGTGAAAAACTGGGATTAACAACTAACCAAAATAAACACAAAAAACTTGAAAAACAACCAGAATAAACAATTGTTTATCGATAAATTACTTAATTGAACAACTTACTTGCTTCATTGTCAAGTTTGACGTTTATTATCATAGCCAACTTTTGAATTTTCGATGATTGTAATAACACACCTAGAGCACGCGTTTTCAGTTATTCGGGTTTTTGATGAAAACGATGAGGTTTTTCAAGAAATTACTAGACTAAGAAAAGTTTCAGAATTGAATTGCCCACACAACAAAGCAAAGATTTTTGAAATCCATCAAGGGTTAACAAAATTCTGTTGAATATTAATGGTGCGCCACCCGGTATACTCCCTTTACAAATTTCAATTGAGCTCTAGTTACTGTCAAGTAACGCCCTAAATACATCCACAAACTGTACCAAATTTGGTTGCTTTAAGTTCAAGAATAACGGAGATATTGATTTTTTTCAAAATTTATAACTGCACTTTCAAAGCCTATATCTCCTTAGGGAAGCAACTTGGTATAGAGGTAAGTTGCGTTAAATTGCCATATTTTGGGACCCCCTACATGCCCCTGCTCTATGTCGGTTCTTATGTGAATCACCCTGTATAAAATTCTCCTGTCCCGCTCACGGTGTTAGTGGTCGAACTCCTCCGAAAAGGGTCGACCGATTCGTATGAAATTTTGTGTGCGTATTCGGTATGCATGAGAATCGGTCATAATCTATTTTTCAAATCGAAAATTCAAGATGGCGGATCCAACATGGCGGACGAATTTTGTAATTTTGGTCAGATTCCATTCAAAATATGTATCTGGAGGTTTTTGGAGTCGGAGATTATGATTCTTTCGTAAAAATTTGGGAATTCAAGATGGCGGATCCAATATGGCGGACGAGTTTTGTAATTATGATCCGATTCTATTCAAACTTGGTACCTGGTGGTTTTCGGTGTCGGACATCATAATTCATTCGTCGAAATTTTGAAATTCAAGATAGCGGATCCAATATGGTGGACGACTTTTGTAATTATGGTGATGACCATTTGAATTGTCGAAACATGTCTCAATCAAAAGTAATGAAGCAGAATTAACTGCACCTTTCGCCAATAAACTGGTGGAGACGACTTTGAGTTTTTTCTCGTTGATCCTTGATTATTATTCAATATATTCATAGTTTCAACCTCTATACGGCCCCGAAATAGTATATTACATAACAAGAGTTGTAAAACGCATATTACGCACGAAGTGTAACTCCACAAGTGCGTAATTGCTTTACAACTCGAGAATTGTACTATACTTTTTCTACGACTACACTATATTTTCTTCCGGATAGTGCAGATATAGTATTAAGGCACAAATAACGAATACCAATATAAAACATCTCCCGTCACTAAGCCAGCTGCATGAAAAGTTACAAATCACAATTCTTGTGTTTGTTTATTGATACATTGCATACCGAGACATTTTCCTCAATTCGAACTGAAATGGAGCCGTTTTTCATATCTAAACAGCTTTATTAATAGGTAGCCAAAAACACATTGTATAAAAATTAACATTCATAATGGCTATTTATTTGTAACAGTGCAGCACGAGAGATTCTGTAATCGTTATTAAAAATAATAAAAAAAAGTTCTCCAACTGCGCTCTGAACCACCGACCTTTGGGTTCGGAGCCAGCGCTTCGTACAACTGAGCTATCACCATTTCTCCGTATTAGTAGATATTTTATTAATATAATATCGAAGATGGATCTTTTTTGAAAAGGAATTCATCAATTCAATGTTGAGTATGTATGTTATTTGAAAAATTACCTTCAACAGGAGCATTCTGCAGAAAGTAATTGATCTGTTCAGCATTAAGTATCTTTGATTTTTTACTTCGGAATCCATCCTTCCCTTTTGAGGAAATGGGATATGTTGCTATATTAATATTGTGATCGATATTTATATAGTGTTGATCGTAACATGGAATATATCGACCAGAGTGATGGGGATTTCATGAAATTTGGTAATTCTTGAAAATATACTGAAAGTATACTTTCCGAAAATGGCACGGTATTATTTCTAATTCTCCAGTCCAGGAATTTTTGATGTGCTATTTCATATCATTTACGAGACTTAGCGGGTAGCAACTCATTTTTTACCATTCTAGCTTTTTCCAACATTTCTGGTGGTGTAGAAATAATCTGCTCATTGTCATCGCTTGACATCATTTTTTTAACTGAAATTGAGGATTCTCAATAGAAAATAATCATATATTCAAAAAATATGACTTTCCTGATGCTTTCGGTTTCGGTGGATAGCTGGATTGATTGATAAAAAGATAAGTACCTACCCACCTAGCTAGTGACATTAATGAAATTGTTAATTATTATTGACACATCGTCTAAGCAACAAAACGAAGTCATCTATCAACATACCTATGAAACCGTGCGATCGCTCTCTTTACGCACACGTGTGTAAGGAGAAGCTTACTGCCATTGTTTTGTGTACAATATCCATCACTTACAGTAGTAGTCGTAGAAAAATTCAGTTCCCTACTATGATTGGTTTCATGAGAAACTCACCACTAGTGATTTTTGTGTCATTAAGTCCCATACAACAACACCTTATCATATTTATCGCTCCAATTTCGGGAAACACCCAGTATAATATGATTATTTCATATTTATGCCTTGCTAAGTACTAAGTGATAATTATTGTCACCTTAACGTATCGAATTATACAAATAAAATGAAACACTGGATGTCCATATCTATAGATATTAATATCTATTGATAGCTAGCAAATATAAAAATGATGGAAACTTCTGATTCTGAGTAGGACAAAAATGTGAAGAAATCCAACGCGCCTCAGATTCAAATTCTCCTATTTTTCTAAGTAGTTGGTTTCTCATTTCGGCAAAGCTTATGACTGACAAAATTCACTTAATAATCCAAGAGCCGACTGCTAATTTCGACCGTCATCTGATAACGAAATGATATACAGTGTGTTATTTTTTCAACATACAATCACCATCAAAATTTCAAGAAAATCGCATCGTTGATAAAGGGCTTTCACGCTGGGTTGATAGTGACGTCATACAGTGTTGCCAGTTGAAACGAAATGACTGAATGACCAACCGCCCGAATATGGATATGTCTAGTGCAACGATCGTCGGACGTTATAATGTTTTTTGGAACCAACTCAAAAGCCGTCAATTTATGTTTCAAAATCAGCACTCGAAGTTGATAAATGAACTTCAATATTTGTATTTAATGAACCATGCACCTAAACAATATACTGATTATGAAATTTAATGATAATGAAATTCTAATAAAGAATAATAACTTGAAGATTGATTTATTATACAGGGTGTTTCATAATTGAATGCTGATCCTTGAGAGCGATAATCCTTGGATGATTTCAAAGAGAAAAGTTTATATCAACATATGTCCTGAACCTCTTAGTTATTGAGCTACAGTGTGATGAAATTTCAAGAAAAAAATTAGTTTTTCATCATAATTTTTTATCACTCTTAGATATTGTTATGATATTTTGTATACACGTTTTCATTATCAAGGAGCATTTTTTTACGTGAAAGATATTAAAAAATTCTCACCAGTGGCGTCCGTACGGGGTTTGAACTGACAATTTTTGAAGAAAAAAATAGTACGCCACTGATTTTTCTGAGAAACAGATTTTTTTTTCAATTCTTATTCATTTTGGAGCTTATTTGGTTCCGAGACTTACTTTCATACAACGTACCGTTTTCGCGTAAAAAAATAAAAACCAAAGAATTTTGTTCCTTCAGTTCTTGGATATTGTTTTTGGTGATTCAGTAGACACCCACTATAAGTAGAAACACATTTTGTTTTGGGACGAAAATCAAACTTTTACTTTTACCAGTGATGTCCTCGTAGACCTGATATTGAATGTTTTGTTTAAAAAAACGCTGTACGCTTCTGATTTCAACACCCTGTAGCTCAAAAACTGAGAGGTTCAGGACATATGTTGATATGAACTTCTCTCCTTAAAATCATCCAAGGATCATCGCCCTTTAGGAACAGCATTCAATTATGAAACACCCTGTATAACAACATCAACAAATAATCACAGATATTGACATTAAAAATAACTTATTTCTCTACCAATACACAATTATGTCTTGAATTAATTTTTTTTTAAATAAAACTGATCAGTATTCACATTGACTGAGTGAAAATAATAAAAACTTCGAATTCAATTTTGAGGTTATCTAATCGTTTTGAATGTTTTTCAATTACTATAAATTGGTGAAATGAAATAGAAATTCGATCAATTGATTTTATTTCGTGGGAAAATAAATAGTGGTGCATCTACTTATATTGAAAATTATGAAATAGCAAACAAGAGTTGTTCTTACTTCAATATTCTCAATATAATTCATGAGGAAAACCCACAAAAACTCATGAAACCACTATGTCATTACAATAAACTAACACAAATCATATTTGGATCATTCGGACAACACACAATATCATTATTAATACCATCATTCAACTTACATCTCTCACAGCAGTCATTGGAAGTAATTGACCATCTTCTGCGTCTACGCACTCAATGGTTTAGGCATTTTGAATAAATCGAATTTCATCTATGATCCACAAATAAATCACAAACAATTCCTTGAAAGTACAAATTGTCAGTAATGAATAATTCGCAGAGATTAGCTGATCACAACAAATCGCTTCTAGAAATGTTAAATAAATCTGGCATCGGTGTACAGTTTTGCCAACTTAAATCGATAAAGCGGTTCGCCCATTTCAAAAGTTACTAGTATTTTTCGATGTGCAGTTTTGGCACGACATTGTTACCAAGTATTGCGCAACTATCAACCCAGCGTGAAAGCCCTTTAACTAAGATTTAAGGGTGTTATTAAGAAGAGCGGGACAGACTGTATAATGTCAAAACATTTTGCTGCACTAACCTTTAGATTCCTTGACATAATTACAGGGGAACCAACCAGTTTCACCATTGAGGGTACCTTCCCACCAGCCGTCATCCTTTTGGGTGACTGTGATGATATCACCTTTTTTGAAACATAGCTGAAAATTTCAATTCTAGATGCTAATGGTGCAATTCCACTGATAAATACACACTCATTCTCTATTCCATCCTTAAATTAACCAATACACTTATGGATCTTATGAGTTGGTGTAGATATGTTTTTTTTAATATTAGTAGCATATACATGATGTTTCATTTTTATTCTGCTAAACTACACATAGACAAAAGTATTCACGTCACTGTTTTTTTTTTCTGTTTTTTTGCAATTTGAGATAAGTGATTCATGTTTAATATGTTTTCAATAGCAAAGCCTGATAAGAAAGTGAACTCATTTCGTTGCATGTACAGCACTATTCTTTGGAAAAGGAAAACGATAAAAAAATCTGAAGATAGGTTCTTGTATGACATTGAGAGGTACATTTTAGGTATAGAGCTGGGAATTTATTTCGATATATCGATATTTTATCGAATAACGATATTTCGGTCGGAATATATCGATATATCGAATATTCGACTATTCGAATATTTGAATATTTCATCATTCGAATATTTGACTATTCAAATATTCAAATATTCGAATAATGGAATATTCAACAATTCAAATACTCGAATAATGGAATATTCAACTATTCGAATATTTGAATATTCCATTATTCGAATATTTGATTATTCAGATATTCAAATATTCGAATATTCGAACATATTCAACGTCAGAACATGCAGAACAACTGATATTTCTAAGTGTTAATAAGAAGCATGTGCCCATTCAAATTGACTAGATCTTTATTATTGACAAATGTTTAGCATATTTTAAGTCTTTCATATTTTTTTTAGAGAATATATTACGTTTTTCAGTTATTATGTAGTTAATTGAAAATTGCCTTCAACAAATATATGATCTGTTCAATATTTTTTTCTTTAATTTTCGAGTCAATCAACTATCCGGTACCCTATAGAGTGTAGTTATAGGCCATTAACTCTATGCGAACGTTAAAGGTAGGTATGCATAATAATATAAATATATATTCCATAATTTTTACTCAGATATGCTCAGAATATTATTTACTCCATCATAATTTTCCAGATAATTTCACACTTCTTTCCCCATCAAGAGCATACCTATTATATTCTTTAAATTGATAATTGATAATTGACATCCATCTTAGCATATTACTCATATTCCTTTGAAATCTGGAGGAAATAAATGAAAACAAATAGTGATGTTTCTGGTGGTGATGGAGTTATTTGACAGTAAGTTACTCAATCAATATCTAGAACGAATGTATAGTGAGAATAGTAATTCGAAAAAACTGAAATCCATTCGATATCGAATATTTGTCTTAATTGTCGAATATTCGATATATAGGGCATTCGATATATCGTTTATTCGAAATATTTGAATATTCGAACATTTGCATATTCGAATATTTGAATATTCGAATATCTGAATATTCGAATATTTGAGCATTTAGATATTTGAATATTCGAATATCTGAATATTCGAATAGTTGAATATTCGAATATCTGAATATTTGAATATTCGAATATCTGAATATTCGAATAGTTGAATATTCGAATATCTGAATATCTGAATATTCGAATATCTGAATATTCGGATATTCGAATATCTAAATATCTGAATATTTGACTATTTGAATATTCGAATATTTGGATATTCGATATATCGAATATTCAATATATCGAATATATCGATATATTTTGGATATCGATATTCGATATCCAATATCCGATATCGCCCAGCTCTATATTAGGTACCGTCAAATGAGGTGTCTGCAATTATATTTTGTAAGGCCAAAGAATTATTTGAGCATGTATTTGGTCTTCAATATCATATATTTTTTTTATACAGGGTGATAACCAAAATAACAGCCTTTTTCCTGGTGTATCAGTGTGAAACTAGCCAGGAGTTCCAGCCACGACTTCGCCTAATATTCAAAGCGCGCGCCATACCACCAATGGTCGTTCATTATTAATTTATATTCATGGCTGGCCATGAAATTACTAAAATCCCCAAAATATGTCCGTGGATGAAACTATTTTACATCAATGAATTCCTCTGAGGGTCTATGATAATCTGTATATCTCACAATAATTTGTCGGACAAGAATCAACTTCACGGGCCCTCTCTTTCAGAATTTCGAAAAAAAATCATAACTTTTTCAAAATACACGTGGATGGGATTTTTTTTCTATGAATGTGTTTCTCTAATGCTACTTGATAATGTGTTCATCTCACAATATTTTGTCGGGCAAGAACTAACCCCACAGGCCCCCATTTTTTGAATTTCGAAAAAAATATCATAATTCCAAAATAGACGTGGACGGGAGTTTTATTCTATGAATGTGTTCCTCTAATGGTACTCGATAATGTGTATATCTCACAATATTTTGTCGGGCATGAATCCACCCCACAGGCCCCCTTTTTTGGAATTTCCAAGAAAAAAATCATAACTTTTTCAAAATACACGTGGATGGGAGTTTTTCTCTATGAATGTTTCTCTAATGGTACTTGATAATGTGTATATCTCACAATATTTTTTCGGACGAGAATTAACCCCACAGGCCGCTTTTTTTTTTTGAATTTCGAAAAAAATCATAGTTTTTTATGAAAAATTAAACATACTTTTTTAAAAATTCTGTTTTCTCCGAATTATTCTTCATGGAAGCAGATATCACTTTTTCAGTCTCTGCAATGCGCGATCGAATTCATCCCCCACCAAGACAAAAAAAGTCGGACACGCTTATTTGAAGAATATGGCGAATTTTATGTTCTCACCTTCTTTGATAATATGAAAATGGAGGAGGGACAGAGCGCCACCTCATATTAAGTGTCTGTCAATAATATTTTCAATCTCAGAAACACCACAGGAAAGTCAGTGACGATTCATATACTATACAAGGAGTCCCAGAACAACGTACCATGAATTTTACAAGATAAAAAATGCACCAATTCTATTTCCAGATGTTCTTGAATATTTCAAAATCCTTTAAAGGTACTGCTCTAAAATTTTTAGGGCAATTTACTATGGTAACTTGCAACATGTTCAAGTTCACATCAAATTCGGATTGAAAAATCTAACATCAAAAAAGTTATGTTTAAAACTACTCAGTAGGAACCATTTAACTAGCCTCCTCTATGAGAGTCAGATTTAAAAACGAATTCAGGCAATGTGTCAGCTTTTAAAACACATCCATACAAAATTTTATTACAATGTTGCCAGTAGTTTTGACATAAATCGGGAAACATGTGCAAAAAAATTATTTTTTCAACACCTTGTACCTAGAAAATGAATGCCCTGATGATATGTAGAATTATAGAAACTCAACATTTTTTGCTCAATGAAAAGTAATAAAAGTTTTCTGTTTATTTTTCATACTCACAGCTAGACAGGCCATTTAAATATTTATATTTCAGCTAGTGTTTTATCTACTCAGATTTTTGTTTAGTTTTGATCATAATTACTTTCATTCTATTATAAAGTTAAATTTGTTGAATGAATAATTCTCCAGGAACCAGGAATATTTTGGATGAGAACGGATTAATAGTCTTATGTAGTTATAATTCTCAAATTATCTTCAAATATTGCTACAAAAATATATCATCTAGGTATATATCTATATCCAAGCTATACAAACACAAGTGGGGCTCTGCTTGATTTATTACTATCTGCATTAATCATTCATTCTTTAAAAATGTATACTTTCTATATGTTATAGATGAATTTGTAATAGGTAGTAGGTAAAATCAATTGAGATGCAATTCACTCACCTCGTCATTGTTACTTCTCTTATAGGAATAAATAGCTTGAACTACCAAAGGTTCATTAGCCATATTGATTCCATTAATGCCTGTAACCAAAATACCACAGAATGATCATTTAATTCACAGTTCCAATTTAGTCTTTAGGAATCCTTTCAACTAGTTGTTGATTTTGTGTACTAAATATCTCTAGAGTTCACAGAGAGATTATGACCATGATTTGGTTGAGAAATATTTTTGAGTACTGTCACATTCTTGGCAAATGCTGGGTAATGGATAAATTTGGATAGGAGCCAAAAATATAACACATTATGGTCTCACGAATTAATATAGATCTACACGACTTTGAGAACTCATTTCCTCGATACTGGTAATGAGGTATTGATTGATTTAGTTGAATTTCAACTGGTTTTTTATACTTTGTATCTTGAATTATGTGAATAGCTATAGGGCAGGGAAAAAGTAAGGCAATGCAGATTTTGAGGATGAATTCCTGAAATGGAATAGAATTTCAGTATTCTTTCATGAACAAAAAATTATCAAGGATAGTTGAAGTATAATATTTCTGTACCATTTTTTTATAAACAAATAATATAAACGTAAAATAAAAATGTGTACACATATTGATATGTCAAGTAAGTACTTACTTTTATTTAGACGAATCTTATCTTCGTAGACTTCACTATTCACGAAATTAGTGGTAGTGGGAACTTCCCTTTATTGAAATTAATTATTTAATTGATAAAATTCATTTTGTCAACATACCATTGTCAATATTATAACCTTAAATTCGCAAATGTCAGAATCATGAATCATTAATCACATCGCACGTATTCAATCTGACCTGAAATGAGACTCTCAAATGAGACGACCAGCAACAGGACACAAAGAGACAGGGCGCAACAAATAGTGTGTGCGGAAACAACTTTACGAGCTTTGTTCCCTATCGGCCCATGGTTATATGCCCATGGTCGGCCCCCCCCAACAGTAAATGCTTTCACACTAAACAGATCTTTTTTTAATGATCACTTCAAGAAAAAAAAGGTAGGATTACCACTTGGATTACCACTACAAGGATTATTTGTTGAAAAATGTTTACGATGCCTCATTCCAGGTCATATTGAGTTGTAGCAATCGCATCTGTCCACTGAATTATAGTAAACATTGGAATGTTTGAGAAATTCTATCTAAATCATATCTAAATAGACGTATGCAAACCATGTATTTCATTTTCGTCTTTGTCATAAATCTAATCGAATACTCATATTTTAAATTGATTATTAAAATCCCTAATTCCATGGTTATGTAAGTAAGTAAGTAATTTTTATTTGAATAGGAAATCCTAATATTCACAATACATAATTTTAACTTATACAATAGAAGCTTAATAATAAATACTATAACAAAAACACAATAAAATAAAAGACTTCATGTATAAATTTAGAATAACATACAGTTAACAATATACGAAGTGAGTTATGTTGAAGTTCACACCCCTATCAGAGGATTCTTCTGGCATCTGATTAGAAATCAGTATTAAAAAAGACTAAAAAGAGAGGGCAATGCACGATTAAAGCAACGATTAAAGTGCTCTCAGTTGGACAGAGCAAATAATCCTTACCGGTGTGAATTTGGCAGACCAAGCCAGCGGCTATAATTTCCGAAGTTACCCGAAACAACAGTGGCGCACCAAATAATTTTTTTAGGGTGTGAACTTGGCACACCATCAACAGCTAAATGTTTGAAGATACTCAAATGAACAGTGGCTGACCTCGAAATTTTATTCTGTCTGTAAAACTATTCGAATAATTAGATATGATTGTTCCTACTCGCATAACAATTATTATAGTTATAGTGTAGCCTATTCGATTCAAGCATATTTGAAATACTCCCATACGAAATTTGAACGCTAAATTTCATATGGGGTGTTATAGTTATTCAGCGAAAGATTGTGAAATTTTTTATTAACCCTGTATCGAAACCTAAGGAATTGATGTAACCGGTGAAGTAGTCATTCAATGAAGAAACACAGCCTTTTTATCCAAAGATTGATACCTACCAGGAATAATTACTACCCCTGCCTGCTGAGTATTTTTTTTTTCGATGCACCACCCATATATAGATATAAAATTTGCATATGATTGTTATTTTATCAGTTGAATTTCACTACTCTTGTCTATACCTAGATAAAAATAGATGTGTCTGCTGTCTGATTTGCAGGGGGGTTTCTTTTTGAATATTTCAAAATGAATATGTTGTTATATTTTATATTCATTGTTAGTATGACCACGACGGAACTACTTTTCATCCAGGCGTAATCAATACAATCCAATGACCCGCACAACATCGACATAACTAGTACACGTTTCAAATTTCTTTAGCATTTACAAAGATCATACACGTATGATCTCTGGCATCTAGATAAGCTTGACATATCTTGAAAAATAATGATATTTTCGCAATGAAGAAAGTGTGAGGTATGAAAAAAAAATACTCAGCTGGCAGAGGTAGTGATTATTCCTGGTAGGTATCATTCTTTGGATAAAAAGGCTGTGTTCCTCCATTGAATGACTACTTTACCGGTTACATCAATTCCTTAGATTTCGATACAGGGTAAATCAAAAATATCAAAATTTGTCGCTGAATAACTATATAACACCCTATATGAAATTTAGCGTTCAAATTTCGTATAGGAGTATTTCAGCTATGCTTGAAACGAATAGGCTAGTCACCGTTTTGAAAAAAAATGCCTTATAGTCGTTTTTGAAAATGTGCATCTTTGACCAAACAAAAGGTAGGCTTTGAAAATCTGAATATATTTCCAATTTTTTCACATTCTCGAATAGAGATCGTTGAGTACCTACTATCACATGGAATTTTTGTTTTTGTGAATCGTTCGACGGGCTCCAAATTATAGAAGGGTGTTGCGGGTTGAAATCGCACACACTGTACATATATTTATATTATATTATTTATCTTCATCAATGCGTGGCACCACTCACTTTTGTAAAGGAGACAAAATTAAGTGAATACTTGTATGTATATGCTAGGTAGTCATATGTTTATCACACTATAACTGTAATAATTGTTATGCGAGTAGGAATAATCATATCTAATTATTCGAATAATTTTACTGACAGAAAAAAATGTCGAGGTCAGCCACTGATCATTTGAGTATCTTCAAACATTTAGCTGTTGATGGTCTACCAAGTTCACACCCTAAAAACAATATTTGGTACGCCACTGTTGTTTCGGGTAACTTCGGAAATTTTAGCCGCTGGCTTGGTCTGCCAATTTCACAGTGGTATAATCCTTCCAGGTGTTTAGTGTAATTCAGTGGCAGTCATAAGATCGTAACGTCAATGTTTTGTCAAGTCAGAATCAAAGTCATAAGTCATATAGTCATATCAGTTTCTGTCAAGTGTCAACTTCTTTGGTAATACAAAATTCAAAATAAACCAAAGATAAAAAAAAAAATACAAAATAATAGTTTTCCCCGTGGGGTTTTTATTAATATATGATATGCTCACAACATAAACTCATATAATTTCCAATCAGTACTCTCTTCGAAATGACTGCTCCTATGGAACGAATACAAGTTCTAGATTCTATTGAAAAAGATATAATAACATGTTTACACAGTGCAGGTATGAAAACAATCCTTGAATATTATTATAACTAATCTTTCAAGCAAATTCCCGAGCGTATACATACCGGGGCATTGATCTAATCTAGAAAACTTCTAGGCCAAGTCTTTGTGGAGCTCAGCAAAGAAAAAACAAGCCTCAAGCAAGCCGAAAATCATACCCAAATGTTTCTGAAAACCCTCAGTACAGTTGAAACGAAGCTGAGTGATCAGATAACATATCTCACACAAGTATCAACGGGTCAGCCACATGAAGGGTCTGGATATGCATCTCAAAAAGTACTTCAGATGGCTTGGCATAGGCTGGAGCATGCTAGGTCTAGGGTGAATGAGTTGGAAAGGTATAAAGTTAAACATGTTCAAGGTAGGACTGCTCATAGAAGTCTACCACAATCTGGAAGTGGACAGATGGTTAATGTTGCTGGTTCCAATATGTCCACAGGACCTGCTACATGATATTATTTTGTTGTTGTTGTTGATGGCTTTCATTGAGAATTGTACTGGTTCATTGTAAAATAGGTATGTAATATGTAATTTTGTATAAATGCAATTAGGGATGGTAGCAGAAGAGCATGTTTTACATTCTATCATCTGATGACCAAGGAAACTGTTTTGGTATTCAATTGCCCAAGTAGGTACTTTTTTTATTAACAAGATTGTAACAAGATTGATTGGTGACAATGTGACAATTTGTGTTTAAGACCAGGTTTGGGCATTAAGCACAATTTTGGTTCTTGTAAGTCATTGCTCATGAGGAAGGATTTATATAAATTCCCTGTGGGTATCTTTTTAGGTACCTAATACATAATACTAACCTATTGATCTACCTCAGATTTCTGGTACAAAAATTAAATTGTGGGTTGATGGTATTCTGAGTCTTAATTTTGTGAAACAATTTCTTAAAATCAGTACTTTTCCATGTTGAACTGACTTCATAATATCAATAGTATCCTTTATAAGAATATTTTCAACAAAAAAAAAACACATTCTGATTGGCGAATAAATGTTATGCACTCATATAAACCCTACCTTTTTTATGATACTGAGTGTTCTTTAAACTTTCAACATTACACAAGAGTATGTATAGAAATCAACAAAATATACATCCTAATATTCATGGACAGGAATATTGACTGTTGATTCTCATGAATTAAGTTATCAAGTGAAGATACATTGTTTATTAAATTTATTCAACTCCATATATACAGGGTGTTTGGAATGGAATCAGCTGTTACTTAATGGAGGTCCATATTAATAAAGAAATTGTGATTATTTTTTAATATTCAGTAATGAACTGGCTTATATGAACTCTTGTGTTTAAAAAAAAAACCGAGGTGTATGATGTACAGTTGTATTCAATAAAAAAGCGTACAAGTATTAAACATCAAAGATTTTGGCATTCTAGTTTTCCTTGTGTAAAATTGGCTCAGCCAATGCTTTGTGTTTTTGTACTAGATGGTTGTCTCAATGATGAATTTTTGTGCAACACACTAACTTATATTAAGGCCAGTTTGAGTAAGTGTATCAATTGTGTGTTAGGGAAAATGGGAAAATGGACATCAATTTGAACAATTCCTGGAACAATTCAATGAATAAGTTACTGAATAATTTCAAAATTCAATTGTTTAGTGAATATTCAATCAGGTGCTTATTCTCCATTATGAACTTTTTATTACTATTTATTTGTTGCTTTCAGGTACCTAACTTTTGTGTTTTATTAGTTAATTATTGTTGATATTGTTTTTGTCTTCTTCATGGAAAAATTGATTGAAATATTCCTTCAATTGGAACTTTTTTTATATGAAATATCCATAGCCCACTATTGAAATTCAATGTTTCAGTGATTTTTGAGCATTTTTGAAAATGATTTATCTATACATCATATATTATTATTATTATTATTATTAAAAAGTGATAATGGGCTGAGGTGTGAACCTATAAAAGCCCATTTATACATGACATAGTTGTATGGTACACATAAAGAAATATTATATACATATATATATGTAAATAGCTACTAGACAAACAATTAGATTAAAAATAAAATTGAAAAAACAATTAAAAATGTTGAATAGAAATTGAACATTTCGAAATAAAATAGACAGATATAATGCAAACTGAAAAAAACAAAAACAATTTACCTACTCAGTAATATGATCTAATCGACTTTTGAATGATGATACTGAGGGTGCCATGGACGTATAACATGGAGGGTGCATTAACTATGTCTGTATCCAGGTTGTTCCATGCCGAGAAAACACGATTTACTATGAAGTTTTGCCGATTTGACGACCTGAAATGTTCCTTTTCAAGTTTAAAATTATGTCCTCTTAATCGTGTATCATCGTTTATCTGGAACATATCACTCAGTGAGGGTAGAAATCCATGAAGAATCCGATAAGTTAGGATCAAGTCTCCATGATGTCTTCGATCTTCGAATGTTGTCAGGCTTAACTGATTCAAACGTTCATGGTATGATGGTCTTCATATATTATTTTCAAGGGAAAAAAATAAGGAATTTAATGAGCTTATAAAATACAGGGTGTTCCATTTGAAACTCAAAGTTTGAGTCGAATCTGCAAAACCGTACCCCGAAAAAAATTGAGTGCGCCACTGGATTCAGCGTAAAATTCTCTATGAGATAAGATTTCAATTCGAGATTTTTGCTGAGAAACTTCGTAGATATAGAGGGGGTTCAAAAAGTATAAATTTTCAAAATCGTCCTGTATCTCATAAACGGAAACAGTTATGCAAAATCTGATTAGGCCATCTTGAGTTTCACAAGAAAGTGGCACAGGACCGCGGAAACCACAAAGTTTTATCTCCAAAGATAACTGAGATATCACACAAAAGCATCGAAAACTGGACACACTGTACACTAACGATGAATGTTTTTATATTGTATATTACAGATAACTCACATTATATATTTTTCAACAAGCTGATTACACAAATATGTAAAGGAATTGTATGACACATAAACAGTTGAACACTCAGTCGGTTTCATAATTATATCAGTTCCTCTCTGATTTCTTTTGCTTCCACAGCTCCACTTCCCTTCTTATTCTTGTCACATCTATGGCGTACGTCCTACAACATCCTCCTACCCAAGTGACACCTAGGTCTAGCCATTTTTGTACGTAGGTTTCTACGGGTTCGCATTGTTCCCTGTTGATCCACCTTAAAAAAAAAAGAAAATATTAGGATTCTGATATTTTTTTGTTCAACGTCTGTAATATTACGAAGTTATAATTCCGACCAAACTGTTTCATACCAGTAGTCGAGCCAGTAGATCCATGATATATTGATTAATGACTGGCATCATTTTAGTAAAAAGCAATTATTGTTTTTAAATCTCTTGCAACAAACAAAACAGGAATTTGAAGCGCGATTACTAATTGGTAGTTAGTTGCATGATGGATCGAGCTACTGTTCTGAAACAGTATTAGTTAAGTTCACATTTTTTTAATATTACAGACATTAAAGAAATATTGAGATCTAAAAGTTGCAATCAAAACGCAGTAAGCGTTTTCGAAATCTAAACAAATAAGCCAATTTTCAGCGATGCATTTGGAAGAATGTAACTTTTGAAATGTAGACAGAATAGGTCATTTTTCATATTGTTCAAAGTAAAACTTGAAGCCCCAGTCGAATTTCAAAATAATTATTATCGAAAGTTTTTTTTTTTATATGATGCCAACTTCCTGAAAAGCACTGTATATATATCTCGGACCAGGCGTTTCGAATATTTTGAATAGTTACGTTGATTTCTCGTCAGTCATTAAAGTGCGCATATACTGTCGGACAGTTAATTTCTTGAAAATTGGTAATATTTGAATGGTTAGCAGTCGAAAAAAAAAACATCCTCAGAAGAAAGAAAGGAAGGCAAAAGAAGGAAGGAGAAGGAAGAAGGAGGAAGGAGAAGGAAGGAGAAGGAAGGAGAAGGAAGGAGAAGGAAGGAGAAGGAAGGAGAAGGAAGGAGAAGGAAGGAGAAGGAAGGAGAAGGAAGGAGAAGGAAGGAGAAGGAAGGAGAAGGAAGGAGAAGGAAGGAGAAGGAAGGAGAAGGAAGGAGAAGGAAGGAGAAGGAAGGAGAAGGAAGGAGAAGGAAGGAGAAGGAAGGAGAAGGAAGGAGAAGGAAGGAGAAGGAAGGAGAAGGAAGGAGAAGGAAGGAGAAGGAAGGAGAAGGAAGGAGAAGGAAGGAGAAGGAAGGAGAAGGAAGGAGACGGATGGAGAAGGAAGGAGAAGGAAGGAGAAGGAAGGAGAAGGAAGGAGAAGGAAGGAGAAGGAAGGAGAAGGAAGGAGAAGGAAGGAGAAGGAAGGAGAAGGAAGGAGAAGGAAGGAGAAGGAAGGAGAAGGAAGGAGAAGGAAGGAGAAGGAAGGAAAAGGAAGGAAAAGGAAGGAAAAGGAAGGAGAAGGAAGGAGAAGGAAGGAGAAGAAAGGAGAAGGAAGGAGAAGGAAGGAGAAGGAAGGAGAAGGAAGGAGAAGGAAGGAGAAGGAAGGAGAAGGAAGGAGAAGGAAGAAGGAAGGAGAAGGAAGGAGAAGGAAGGACAAGGAAGGACAAGGAAGGAGAAGGAAGGAGATGGAAGGAGAAGGAAGGAGATGGAAGGAGAAGGAAGGAAAAGGAAGGAGAAGGAATGAGACGGAAGGAAGAGGAAGGAGAAAAAAATATGTTTCATGAATATTGAAATATATTTACCCCAATGAAACATTGTAGCTCTCGCCACTATTCGGGTATACGATGAGAGGTATCGGGTTGTTTTTTCTCTGATCGTTCAAGCCTTTGATGAGGGGCTCTATGAGCCTAGGGGCAGTGCAATTCACGCCTACGGCCACCAATTGCTCAGGATTCAGATCGTAGCAGTGCCTTGCGACCTCTTGGAAGTTTTCCCCGAACGCTGTGGATATGCCGTCTTGCTATGAAAAGATAACCAGACAGTCATTAAATTCGCATATACAATGGGATAGTGAACTGATTTATTTTCATTATCCATTCTTCATTTCCAGACTAATGTGTTTAACTTTATTATTTTTGAGAAAAATAAAAAAAATGTTGATTGGTTTTAAGACCTAGAAATCACAAATGAAGTCACCGTCTATAACAGAAATTGTGTGGCTATCAACAATCATAATTCATGATTACCCAACCCAATTGTTCTCCCAATATGTGGAATATTGATTCTTAGTTTTATCCTTGACTGGATATATAATTATCTTTCACACAGGTAGTATATTCGAGTGTATGAGACAAAAGCATTACTAGTAATAATTCATACCAAAAGGGTATCAAATTTTGTAAAACGTTTGGTTACTGGTAGTTAGGCAGTGCAGAGTACAGTTGCCGAGTTACCAAGGAATATTTACCGAATGTACATACGTTCACATAGCACGTGGTTAAGTCTCGCCGATATTATTAGAAAATCATATAATGCAATGATACATTGATTGCCATCATGTCATTCTTTGTACTCACTACCATATGCGCAGTGGCAGGCCTGCTAACTATCCTCGTTAACCCCCGAGACCGAGGTCTACTAAGCAGCTGGCCCGCTCTCACGCTCAGCTGGTAGTTTTCCACACCCACCTACATACACCGTCCTACTTCTTCTCTGATGGTCACAACCACATCATCATATCTTTCTGCGTGTTCTGTGTTGGCTTTGTTACTCCATGCGCCACTTTAGGAGCAGCACTGTTAATTGGATCGCAACAGCGAATCGTGCCGTTACCACCGATACAACAAGGCCAGCAGACTCTGACGTAAACAGCTCGTGACGTCACCAAGAGAGGCCAGTGTTTTATTTTATCGCTTGTCGACTAACGCGTCAGTTCGTGTTAATTCATCGGTGATTCACGTATATTTTTGAAACGGTCCCGAATTCTTTTGTTGTTTATTCATCAAAATAATTGGCGGAAAAATTACTGTTTTGTGAAATATTTTGTGTTGTGATCGGCGAAATAACAATGCATTTCAAGTGTTGTGTTCCCTTTTGTCGGGAGAATTATGTGGGTGGTTCAAAAGTTCATGCTTTTAGTTTCCCGTTGGACGAGGAGCTATCGAAAATGTGGGTATATGCAATTCACCGCGAGGATTTTACTCCATCTAAGTTCAGTAGTAAACAGAGCTTAATTTATAATGATGAATTAATAATAGAAGACAATTACTCTCTCATAAAAAGTATAAGTAGAGGAAAAATAGAAAAGCTTTGATTGTGCAGTTAGTTTTGTATTCGTATATTATAGTCAACAAAATCATCTCTGAATTCGAGGAAATTTTCTTGAATGTTCATAATAAACGGGCATTTTTAATTCTCATTCTCAAATTTCTTTCTGAAAACGGTCATTTGCCTCGTGGCAATGAATGCAGAATTCATTCCAATGATCAAATTGCAACTATCATATTAACATGAATTACAAACACTCTACTTAAAAAGGTAAAACTGCATTTATCATGAAGATATTTGACTAAAAAGTTCCAAATTTCACCTTCTTTTTCACCTGTCTTCTGGATGGCATTTAGAACAAATTTCCCTTCTTTTTTCATCATATTGGACAAATTTATATATAATTCAACTATAAATATGATTTTCTCGAGATAAATCCATATTTAGTGAAAAGAAGGAAGAATATCATTCAAAATAATGGCGTGTGTAATGTCATTCGAAGGCAATCTATTGACATTTGACATCTCGTATTTTGATTGACTATTGATTAAATGGTCGTCATCTGGAATGCTTGTTCACTAAATATGAAAAACTCGCCATAAAAATCATATTTCCTGTTGAATTTTCTATATAAAAATGTGCCATCGAAGTACATCATGAGTATATAAAGTGTCCAATGACAAAATAAGAGCAAGTAGCTTCAAATGCCCCCAACACAAGGAGAGAAAGAAGGCGAAATTTCGAACTTTTTCTTGAAATATCTCAATAAATAGTGGTTTGTTCACATTTTCATTATAAAATTCGGTTTATCAGACAAAAATACGTGAGTACCGAAAAAATTTTTCAAAAAAATACCATCGCATGATAAATGCAGTTTTACCCTTAAAAATCACGGTTTCAAGTGTAACGATCCACTTGAGTGAAAAATCCAACAACAGAAAATTGAAAACACTCACTGGTTATTTTTTCAGGTAATAGGAATTCTCCAAGATAAATATAGGTAATTGTAACAAACGGCATGTCAATCAGAATAAAATACATTTTCCACAATTTTCTTTCGATCAATCTCACGATAAGTTTATGTTCTGCGGGCCCTGTATAAGTAGGTGTGAAGTTTACCTTCACCACAATTTTTGACAATATATTCAATACGAATGGGTTGCTGTAGGTGGGTATTTGTGTTTTATCCTGGTTTTTGCTTTAAAACTTCGTTTTTCCATAATAAAATTGAATGGGGTGCGAAGAAAGGCTCAGAGTTGACGACTGGCATCCTTTTTTAACCGGAAGCCCTTCAAAAAACAGCAAAATCGGCTCAATGATGATCTAAAACTAAAATCGAAATACGCGGTCGCCTTATAGCGCTATAAGCGCTTGTCGTTTCGAGCCGCTGGTTAGGCCTCACTAAGTGACGTCACCCACGGAGCATGCAGGCCTTGCAGGACTATCCCCAGCCGATGCTCCGAAACTTTTCAATATTTAATTCGTAAATGAAATATTGAAAAAAGTTCCTTGCTCGTGCTGGGAATCGAACCCACGACCTAGCGGTCGTGAGATGAACGCTCTTCCACTGCGCCAATCCCGGTCCTGGCGGAATCGGATAAATAAAACGCAACCAATGTCCGACTCACCCCGACGCTGAAGGACAACCACGCTCTCACCCCCGGCCACTCCTCCCTCAGCAGATTCACCAGCATCTCGGCCTCCGCTCTGCAAGGGATGGTCTCGAGGGCGAGAAGGTCGCACCCGGCCTCCACCAGCGCCCTTATCCGGGGCGCGTGCCACTCGCGCATCGCGTGCACGGGGGTGGTTTTCGCGTAGGCGCCGGTGTATTCGGAGCCGTCGTGGAGGGAGGCTCCGTAAGGGCCAACGGAGCCCACCACTAAGGGAGTTCCTGGAAGAAAGGGCTCGTTGATGAACCATATACAGAGTATATCTAAATATACTGCCATCCCTGATAACACAATAACATCTGTAAGACGTCGTAGAAACATCCATATGGGATGATAGGAACATCTCTGGAAAATCCCTATTTTCCTTGGGACATTCTTGGGATAGAGATGTATAGAAATTTAACTGGTGCGCTTGCTCCCTATTGAAGGTCGTTTGCAAGTTTCTCGATGGCGCCTACTCTGATAAACCTTTGATAAACATACTTGACGTGAGTAAATCTCGCTAAGCTCATCCTGGTTACAATCCATATTTACAGGAAACATATTACCGACCGATAAATATTTGGATACGTATATGATTTGGATCAGAGCAGTGAACTGCTGATTCCTGATCAAAGGATCGAAACGTCAATATGTCAAAAATATTCTTGAGCTGAAAATAGTAATTTGTTTAACTAGGCAGCAAAGTAGTAGATTGACTGCCGAGGCTGAATTCATAGCCGAGCGTAGCGAGGCTAGGAATCCAGCTAAGGCAGTCAATCTACTTTGCTGCCGAGTTGAACATATAATTTTTTCTCCGATTGTTCATAATGATATGGGAGAATATTGTATTTGCGAATTAATACAATTCCCACAATCTCTTTATTCTTCCTGTATAGTGTTCAATTAAAATAAAATTTGATAGAAATCGCAGTTGTTGGTTTGACAATTCATGAAATTTCTGACAGTTGTGCGAAAAAATATCGGTATATTCAAATTAGTATATAATGGACAGTGATAGCGACCTGGAAGTATACTTACACTTCCATTAATAAGAGAGGTGGCAAAAAATATAGAGTTGAATTTGTTGCCGGAGAAGTCTCGGATGGAATATGAAGGAAATTATAAACGATTTATGGATTTTTAATTTTGCTGATACATATCAATCAGCAAAGTACCCACTTTGCTGCCTAGGCAGGCAAAGTAATACTTTGCTGATCGATATGTGTCAGCAAAATTAATATTTGCTGCCAATCGGAGGAAAAATGGTTATTTCTGATATTGGGGTCAAGTGTTCGTTAGGGACGTGTTCCGTAGTTTCTAAATTTTGTGTATAATACCTAATCCACCATAGAAAATAGAAAATCTCTGTTCTACAACAGTATTATTTCAGTGAACTGGTGTGAATAAATTCTAAGGTGAGTACCAGTTACCATATCTGCCTATTATGATTCATTCTTTGTTCTGGTTCTTCAAAGAGGAAATTCATCAGATTTCATGATTTGAATAGGTTCATGTCATGAAAGAAGTGAAGCTTATTAAAATCGGCTACAAAAAAGATTTCATTGCTTCTATTTCAAATTGAAATTTGAATGAAAATGTTGAGCACAGTATTTATTCGACCACAGAACAATGATGGAAATAATAGATTCATCCCTCACAGAACCAAGGTTTTGAAAGATTTTCCGATTATGGCGCCACTATCGCAAATACCTGAACACACGTCCAAAACTCGCTTGCAATTGTTCCATATCGAGAGTTAGAGTCTGACGAAACAATTGAAGAGTGAGCCCACCAGTTAACTTTTTATACATCTCTCTTGGGATGTTGCTGGCAACACCCGTGTCAGCATTTGCGATGTCTTATAAACATCCCATCAGAATGTTTGTGGGATGATACGGGATGTACCAGAGACATTCAGGGTACTTGATATGGAACATCTTAAAGAAACTTCTAGGATGTTTTTTGTTTGGAGACAATAATGGATGACACGGTATGAATTATCTTCAATCTGAAATCCTGAAAATGGACGACCTATTTCCAGATATAAAGTAACAATCCGAATTCGAAAATATAAGGTCGGTGCGGTCCAATAACTAATGGAAGATGATAACAGTTGTTTGAGGATCATATTTGTTGGCGCTGGGCCGACGGCTGTTAATAACTCTTAGCAATGTAGTTGTACCGCCATCTATCGGCTGGTATAACAAATAAATTCAGCAATAAATATGCTGGAGAGATATATTTCAATTTTGTCGTTTATTACATGGTTCATGATGTTAAACAGGTACTTTGGTAATCCTATTGAGGAATATTTAGTATAATTATTTCAATTTGTTATCGATGAAATTAGCCGGCTTTGGTATAGGTATAAAGTATATGAGTACGAATACAGTTTTGATTTCCATTTTTTACCAACTCTTCAATGTTTCAAATGTCACAATTGTTTAAACTATTCAATCATGTCAATCATCATTAGCGAATATGGAACCATGATATTGTTAATAAAAAAAGATCAAATGGGATGTTTCTAGAACATCCAATGAAAACATCTGATGGATGTCCCAAGAGAAACATCTCTGGGATATCGTACCTAAGTCTGAAACATTGGGACATTTGTAGGACCTTAGCGGGATGTACCAGCAAGATCCCGTGTTGTTAGGGATACAATGAAATCATGAAATATGTTGAAACAGGTGAATGTCCGGCAGCAATCTTGTGATCTAAGCCGTGCGTTCGACTGTGTCAATCACCAGAAGCTCTTAGCAGAACTGGAAATGTATGGACTAAGAGGTGTCTCGCTCAGCTGGATATCTTCATTTCTCAAAAATCAGAGCCAGTATGTGTCCCTTCAGGCAACTATGAATAATGAAATTCGAAGAATTGATTCAGAGCCTTCAAATATCCCTAATAACACAATTATGTCCCATGGATATCCTTAGGACGTCCTGTCGGGGCATTCAGGACGTCCATAGGACGTTCGAATTTGGTACCGTGGACGTCCATTGGACGTCTGTGAGACGCACAAATGTTCCACTTGAAGACCAACTAGGGACGTCCTTGAGGGATGTCCCTGGGACAACTATCGAATACCTAAATCCTACAGTATTCTTCATCAAACACTTCGGAGGACATCCTTAGGACATCCGTAGGACAACCTATCAGCAACGCTGAGGGATATCAATTGGATGTCCATAGGATGTTCCAGGGACGTACGAATTATTCTTGAATTTGAATTTTTCTGGGTCCCTCTTAGACCAGATCTTGCATAACTGATGGGTACATCCAGTTGAGTTGATGGTCCGTAGAAGGTCCCCAATAGATCCTCAAAAAGTTTTCCAAGGATGTCCAATGGACTTACGTGAAGGACATTGATGGGGAGTATTTATAGCCTACGAGCAATCATTCATCGGAGAGGTGTAAGTTAACGTCCTCGCAGGGACAACTTATTGAAAGTACCGACTGGGACGTCAAAATGACGTTATTTCTAGGACATTGGGAGAGTACAGTTCATGTACCGATTGGGACATCCGACGGATATCCATAAGGGACATTCGAAGGATGGTAGAGGACAAATTATCATCAATTCTACCAACCTTGATGTCAATATATGCTCAAACCATCTATCGGTAGTTTCCTGTACTACGGAACAAGCTCACCAGATTCTTCATTTTTCGAGAAATCTATTGCAGATTTCTTCGAAAAAAATTCAGCCTAGTTGTGAACCAAAAGATGTGAACTACTAAGTTCATCTTAGTTCATCTATTGTACACAAGATGGCGATAAATGTATGAAATATTGCACAAGCAGGGTTGCCGGATGGAGTAAATCCTTTAGTCGAGTCGTGTAATCATAGGAAATTAATTCGATTTTCAAGAAACTAGGAATGAAAAAGTGAGGAGAAACTCATTCTGCTCTTCTCTTCGGCGAGGGCTTCATTCTCCAAACTAGGTATTTTCTAAGATATGAAATTATTTTACAAACAATTCAAAAAGACTCATTCTTATTATATGTTCTCCGATATGAATCTGGATGAAAATGTGTATACAGCATCGTTACTAAAGAATTGTCCCATTAGTGGAAAAAGTATCGAACTCAGACGTAACGGTTCGAGAGGAAGACAAATTTGAGATTTTGTGCAAATTCACAGTGGTCCGTTTTATTTGCTGAGCAGTGTATAAACATATAGGTCACAAAACTGATCACAAAACTTAGTGAACGTGGAAGAGGAATATTGATATTTCGTTTTTTTCTAGACGAAAAGAATAATATAATTATGGATCCTGCCTGTAAAATAATTTTAGCTCTCTTGTAAATTAAGTATGTCATATTGTTCTTCGCAGTACTTAAAAATAGCTAAAAATAATACATTCACAGTAGTAATTCTTTGAGTACAGTCGTATTCAATAAAAAAGCGTACAAGTTTTAAAAAGAGAGGTTTTTGTCATTCTATTTCTAGTTGTGTAAAGCTCAGCCAAGACTATGTGTTTTTGACAACTTATCGACAACTTTTCTGTCAACATTTGGCAAACAATCATCCCCAATAGCCCGTTTTACGCTAATAGAATGACATTAATTTCTCTCTGTAATATACAAATACGCTTTTTCTTGAATACGACTGTACTTCAAAATATTCGGGTAATACAGCGATAACCATTGTTGCATAATTACAAAAATAGTCAGTTTGACAGTTGGAATAATCCGACCACGAAGCGAATCAAGTACTTCCATTGACAAATAATTCCAAAGCTATGGCGTTCTATAGACGAGCGAGTTTTGGTTGAGTGTTGTTCAACATATTTCAGGGTTGACAACGGAAGGATGTTTACTCACTAGGGCTATGAATGAAATGTGTAATAGAAAACGAGAAAACAAAACGAAATGAGAGAAAACATTTTTGTCGAAACAAAAAATTTTTTCGGATATTGATCAGATGAGGATAATTGCCGGACCTAAGCGTTCGCTTTCGGCGAGGTCAGAAGCACCAGAAGTAACAATGGCCTCTGCAATGTAGCCGGACGTTCAATAATTTAGAGTTGAAAGATATACATATTCAAGGGGTCTTTCCTTGTGACATTCTAGGAAATAAAGTTCACATGAACATGTGTCCTAACTTGCTCCGTTCTTGAGATACAGGATGTTGAAGTTGAAAGTAATAATTGTTTTTATTCATAACCCCCCTGTATAAGCTTTATTCATGGTGCGAAAATTCAGTATGGATGAGGACTGAGGAAGCCATAAAATTTCAGAATGATTCTACGCCACTTGAAATATTATTTCGAATCTATAATTGCACTAGAAGAAGCTCCATACAAAACCACAACGTTTTATTGAAAGCAAGTTAGGAACATGTTTATATGAATTTTATTTACTAAAACATCACAAGGAATCACCCCTTGAATTTTTTCGGTGTTATTTAGATACACCCTGTATGCTGTGTTATATTGAAAGCCTACATTTATTTTCAAATAACTAAAAAAAGTATATTTATCGTCTCGCAACTTCAGAAACACCTTGTATGCTTGTTTATAAATAGGCGGTAAGCATATTATGCGCTATCAATGAATATGCCAGAATATTGACCTGCAATTTCTATACGAAATTTCTGAATATGATAATTTCATCAACGTCTGTCGTGTATACAGATTTCTGGTTTTCGGTGAATTGCTGATATTTAGCTGAGTTGGCAACATTCCATTCACCGTATCCCATTGATCGTTACACATCGCTGACGCTAACTACAACAGTTTAGGTACATATACCGCGAATCGCTCAATCTGAGTGTGTTGTATGAAAGGAGAGAAGTTTAGCACTCCCCTAGACAAGGATGGAACAACACATATTGGTCTAGGCACTCTTGACCAACAATTTTTTTTTACATTTTCACTCATTGTAAGCTGATTTTTGTTCTTACTTGCTTCAGGATATTCCTTGAGATAACGGTCGACTGCTGTTTTCGCTAAACTAACAGACTTTTTGATGAGATCGAAGGCTTCATTTTCAGTCAGGTTGAGGTGCTTTACAAATAAGTCTACATTGGCTTGATAGGTGTTCGTGATGATGAGGTCAGCACCCGCTGAAACAAAAAAAGACCCATATTGATTATCAATAATATGGCGATGAAATTATTCTTTAGTCTTTATGGGTGAATCCAGTTCATGACTCCGTTTATCGTTTATGATTTGAAATGATCGACCCTATATACAGTGTGTTCCACTTACCATGCTCACCATGGGTATCTTTTTAACTGTGAGAGATACGAGGTCGGTTAAATGACACCAAATGTGGAGTTTGTCAAGGCCAACTATAATGTGAAAAAATATTTTGATAAAATCTATTCGTTTTTGTTTTATACGCAAAAAACATATTTTGATCATTTTCATGTCTTCTCCGTAACTTCTTCATTTATGAAAATATTCAAATAGGAATTTCAGATTCTCATGGCAGTTTTTCAAAGTGATTTCGAAAAAAATATGAAATTCATACCAACTCTTCTAGAATTTGACATATCAGCACCAACTTTAGTTGTTCAAATGTAGGTCATAGCTCACTATGACTTAGTTACAAATAACTTTTTTTTCTCTCACAGATGATATGTCGCAGTAATAGCTTTGTATTGATAACAACGGAGTTATCGTCATTTATACAAAAACAAAAAATTATTTGGAAGCCGCCATCTTGAATTCATAAATTTTAACAAAAAAATCATGATCTCCGACCTCAAAAACCCCCACTTACCAATTTTGAATGACAATACATTATGGAATTTTTGTTGAAATTAAAAAAAATTGCTGCTCCAAGATGGCGGACAAGATTTGGTCCGATTCCATTCAAAATTGGTAAGTGGGGGTTTTTGAGGTCGGAGATCATGATTTTTTTGTTAAAATTTATGAATTCAAGATGGCGGCTTCCAAATAATTCCTTGTTTTTGTATAAATGACAATAACTCCGTTGTTATCAACACAAAACTATTACTGCGACATATCATCTGTGAGAGAAAAAAAATGTTATTTGTAACTAAGTCATATGACCTACATTTGAAAAACTAAGGTTGGTGCTGATATCTCAAATTCTAGAAGAGTTGGTATAAATTTCATATTTTTTTCGAAATCACTTTGAAAAACTGCCATGAGAATCTGAAATTCCTATTTGAATATTTTCATAAATAAAGAAGTTACGGAGGAGACATGAAAATGATCAAAATCTGTTTTTTGCGTATAAAACAAAAATGAATAGATTTTATCAAAATATGTTTTCACATTATAGTTGCCCTTGACAAACTCCACATTTGGTGTCATTTAACCGACCTCGTATCTTTCACCGTAAAAAAGATACCCATGGTGAGCATGGTAAGTGGGACACACTGTATATAGACGACGTCAGAGCCGGATTTAGAGGTTTTGGGCAACAAATGAGTGTAGGCCCGCTGGCTCCTAATTGTTTTCCATATAAAATTAACGAATTTTTCGGTCGATAATTTTTTGCAAAACCAACAAAATTATGTTTACATATACAGGGTGTTTCTTAAATATGTTTCAGGGACATGTTGCTGCCGTTAAAATAAGAAGAACAGTTTGTATAAATATATGTCCGCAGATTATTCATTCTGAGATACAGAGTGTGGAATTTTGAATGTTATTTCGGTTTTTGTGAATGAATTCCATAATAATCGTGATATTCGGGGTGAGATACCATATTCCACTCGAATATCGCGGTCATTTTTGAATTCACGCACAAAAAATAGGAAAAAGAATCAAACTTTGACAGTTTGTACCTCAAAATTGATTAACTTGCGGATATATGTGTTTATACGAACTTTTCTTCTTTATTTATTGACGTGTCAGCAACATGCCTCCGTAATTTTTATATACGTACCTTCTTAAGAATTACATAGTAAAAATGTAGTCAAAAACGGTAATTATCTGAAAGACGGTTTTGTCCCATCGGAGTTCGAAGCCTATTTTTTATAATTTTCATTTTTGAAAATGAGCGTTCTCCAGCTCAATTTAATGCAATCAAAACCAGATACATTCTCAGTGGAATTTCAATGTTCGAAAATGTGATTCTTGAAGTTGCATCTTCGAGAATGTCGTATCAAAATACCTCCGTAGAATGGTTTTTTCCATAGTCCTCTTTAATAAACACGCGGAAACGCATACCAACCCACTCAGCCATTGGGATACTCTATCAAGATGGGTATTAAATAGCAACAACTGCTTATCAGGGCCATTTTGACAAATTGATATTTCCAGATGGAAATGAATGAATGAAATTAAATAATTTTTCAATATTTGAGAATAATATAATCATGTTCCTACAAAGTACTAAGAGTGAAACAACGGACTAAACGTTTTCAAAAATATTAAAGGAACAGTTGTTCACTATAGTGTTTACCCGTCGAAAGTCGAAAGATTTTTTTTCTCTATTGTGAGGACCCCTTTTTGTAGAGGCCCCGGGGCTGTAGCCCCGGATGCCGTCCCCTGAATCCGGCACTGGACGACGTATTAATGAAAAAGAAAGATACTACAGTGCTTTGGTGAAGTATACTGAATCCATCCATTTTCTGTCAAACTATCCATTTCTGAGGACTTTCCTCCTGTTACAGGTCAATTTTCAATTTCAAATTGCAACATTTATACAAGAAATTCAAATGTAAAAACTTCACAAACGATAAGATTTCCACAAAATTTATTAAACACACGACATGTTTCGCTAACACAGTAGCTTCGTCAGGTGATATACTGGTACAATGAACTAAACTAACGTTGGCTTGCTTAACTTTTATATATCTTACCTTCCCGACCTGAAGGATTAGTTACCTGTGGACAGGTACGATAAACCTCCATTTTCGGAATTAGGCACAATATCTACATTAAATTACGGTATACCGGATTAACTTGAAAGAGTTGATATCAAATACATATTATTACTTACTGAGAAAACAAATTCAACAGTGGTGAACTATTAAGGTCTAATTGATCATTAAGTATAATGTCAAAATTTTTGAGTTTGTTGATTTCTAATGATTCAAAATGATTGAGTTTCAGTCCTTCATTTTCTACGTGCAGAATTTCGAAATTATCATCAAAACTATGGTTTTCTTCTAATATATGGTTGGTGTATGTTGAATTCGTTTTCTTTTTCATAAAATTCATCTTATGTTCATGAATGCGCTGATTAAACGTACGACCGGTCTGACCGATATATACCTTAGGACAAGATCCACATTTGAGTTTGTATACCCCTGATTTTTCGAATTTAGAAGTTTTGTCTTTATTATTCTTGATAAACCGTCCCAACGTGTTATTTGTTCTATATGCCACTTTTAAGTCCTGTTTATGTAGAAATGAAGCTAATTTCTCAGTTGATGATCCGAAATAGGTTAAAGTTCTGATCCTAATAAAACAACCTACTATATTATTGTCATGCCAAACAATCGAGACTCAATCGAGATTTTTTGCCAAATGACGATGAAATTTGAATACAATTTGAAATGTATTTAACAATACAAAAATTTCTCGAATATATTTCAGGGAGATTAATACACAACTACAGTATAAAGACAATTTGGTTTGGAAAAAAAACGACGTTGTGTTGAGAAACCTCGTAATTCCGAATTAACAGGATTGGCTTCATTTTTTTCATTTTCAGTCTCGCATAAATAGTGACTTCAAATCAACTACGAATTTTGGAACGTTTAATGGCTCCGGTAGGTGGAAAATCATGATTTGGAAGGAAAAACGGGTTATACTTTTTTATGTTGAATCCGAGTAAATAATTATTACGTTCGCAAAGATGCTGTTTAGATGTACCTGTTTTTCTGAAATCCTTCATAGGCATCTTATGAAAATCCACATATGTGAGTTTGAAACCATGAAGAATAATGTTATGAGGTCAGTTTTCCTGTGGATTTAATGAAAAACTGACCCCTATTCATTTCAATAAAAATGCACGGCACTGTCTAAAATGATGTTTGTCCCTGATGTCATATTGATGATTATTCATATATAATACCACAAGTGATAATATTTTGCCGGAAATATTCGGTGATTGTTACGACAGCTTGTTGCTTAGTAATTTCGTGAATGACATTGTTATCAAAACTACGAGCCGTAGGCGAGTAGTTTTATGTCATGAGCGAAATTAGAGCAGCAAGCTGGAGTATGTCAATCGACGGATATTTCCAGGAAAAATAGTATCACGAGTTGTATTCGTATGACTATTTCATGATTGAATGAGACAATATAATATAAGAAATAGGAAACATAATTTAGGTATATTCCAACTGAAACTGCGAAGAAGAACATAATGATAGTGATGAAATACAGAATTAAATTTTTTAGAAATTAACTACCTACTTATAGTTATTCACAAAGTGGAATGTACAATTTTAACAAACAGTATTTTTCCTATTATCTTGGAGATGGTTGCTCTCAAAAGAGTGTATACAATAATTAAAAAAAAGATATCGGTGCCGAGGGACTCGAACCACCGACCTTCGCATCCTCGCGCAACAACCCTATCAGTTGCGCCACATATCATCTGGCAGTTTTTCAGTCACAATAACTTGACTAATTAAAGAAGATTACTTCAAAAAGGAATTTGAATTCTAGTATTGTTGTGTCAGAGGCCGTCAACAAATATGCAAACTTTTTAAATTACACATGAAACGTCCAGCCAGAATAAAATTGTCTCGCCTCTCGTACAAAATGTCTCACCAACGCAAATTATAAGTAAATAAAATAAAGTAGGAACTTAGGTTAATGTCTCAGATTTGAATCCAAAGCAATCTTGACCAGACACGATGTCAAAATTTTATCGTTGATAAACGAGGTTAGTTGGTCATGTGTGGGTCAATTCGGCTTCTGTATTGGTAGAGCAAGTCCGATAAAAATTAGAAAACAAAAAATATCGCTAGAATACAGAAGAAACCGTGAAAATGGTCTATTCTGATTGGTTCTCGAGATCAATAATTCCACTATTGATCTCGAGTCATACCAATACAAATTTGGTGAAGATCGCACGACTGATAGCTGAGATAAAGAGGGGGGGCCGTTTGAAATGAGACACGCTGTA